CAAGACAGTACAGACCGTATTCTGCAGCGGAAACTATGACTGTGGCGGAACTGATCTTCAAACCCTTCGAAACCCTAATCTTCGATTTGAACCTGATCTTCACGAACCCGATGGAAGACTTCAATGATCACGAACCTAAGGCTCTGATACCAGTTGTTGGGGTATCTATGAATACTGAATAGCAAACCACAACCAAACAAGAACACACACAAACCAGAAATCAAAACGGAGAAAAACGGAACACAAGATTTATAGTGGTTCGGTCGGCTGACCTAATCCACTTTGCAACTAGGGTTTTTATTATTCAAGTGCTCACAGAATTACAAGTACAGAGATCCTTATTTATGAAGACTAAACTAGGGTTGAAAACTTAATCCCCAAGTTAGGCCCAAGCCCACATAGAGAATTAGGGCCGGCTAAATTAAAAACCTAATTTACTGCCATATGGGTCGAACCAAGACTAGGGCCGGCTGCCCTTCTTTGTCGAGCCTCCACACTCAATTCGCCCAACACAATACGCCTTACTACTACCCTCTCCCACCCACACGAGAATGCAAAAATTAATAATCATTCTGCAATAAACTACTAGGAGAAAGATGAAGTTATTATCCATGAAAGGAAATAAGTGAAATGGAAAGAGAAGAAAGGACTTACCAATGTATTATCCAAAGTTCCAACCAGAATAAATTTTCCATTTGGTGAGAACTTGACGAAACTGACAGGCGGGTTCTCATCATCAATCAATGTCTTTAAACAATGCCCAGTTGAAGCATCCCAAATCCTACACAACCCATCGTAGCTGCTAGATACAATCAATTTCCCATCCTGACTGAAATGCACTGCAGTGACCGGATCCGAGTGAGCCGGCAGCACCTTGAGGCACTTCCCGCTCTTGACATCCCAAATCCTCACGGTCTCGTCGTAAGAGCCAGAGACGAGCATGTTTGACTGGGGGTTGTAGTTGACGCAGAATACGTAATTGGTATGACCCGTTAGGGTTTTGACGACGGAGCCGGTGGCGACATCCCAGAGACGGAGGGTCTTGTCGTCGGAGGCGGTGGCCAGGTACCGACCGTCAGAGGAGAAGGCGACGTCGGAGATGCCCTGGTCGTGGCCCTGTAACTCGTGGACGAGAGCGCCGTCGGAGACGGACCAGACGCGCGCAGTCTTGTCGGCGGAGGAGGTGCCGAGAAAGCGGCCGTTGTCGGAGAATTTGACGCTGGAGATGGCGCATTTGTGGCCGATTAGGGTTTGCTTGAGCTTATAGGGCTTGAATGGCTCCGCAGAATCGGCGTTCGATGCCATTCAGCGGGAAGAGCTCTCCGAGAAGCTGTGGTGATTGACTCTCCCGGCTTCCACTTATCAGTTCTCTCCCTCTGATTTGGACCGTTCTTCGTTGTTTTTCATCTCGCGCGAACTACGGACTAGGAAGTAGGAAGTCATTCATTCCTACACGAACGAACTTCGAGAATAATAAGGAGTCACTCCTCTTGTTGTTTAATTGGGATAAAAAAAAATTAAGATTAAATTCCATAAAAGGTTTTCAGATATAGGTTATTTTACATATTTAGTCTTTATATATTAAATATTACTAATTTAATCTCCAATTATTATATTCATTTCCACGACTATTCATTTGTTAACATTTTCGTTAAAAACGTGAATAAAATTATAGATTCACACTCTTTTCTCTCCTCAATTAAACTTCCTCCCTCCCCTTGTATACCTTTCCCAAACCCGTCGCTAAATTTGAAGCTTTGAACCCAAAATCGAAATTATCACTCTTCTCTCAATTATTTGTCTAACTGGTGGAACTCAAATTCAAAAACAGTAACCTTCATGGATGAATTTTAATGTTTATTTTCTTTGCAATTTCTTGAGACTAACCGATAAAACTCATCCATAAAGCTTATTAGTTTTGATTTTAGGTTCCACCAAGAAGACTAATAATTGAGAGAGGAATGATTATTTCAGTTTTGAATTCAAAGTTTCAAACTCAGCAACGAGTTTGGGAAAGAGTACGAGAGGAGGGAGGAAGCTTAATTGAGGAGAGAGAAAAGTATGAATATACAATTTTATCCATGTTCTTAGCAAAAATGTTAACAAATGTCCATTCATGAAAAATGATATAATAATTGGGGACTAAATTAATAATATTTGATATGTAGGGATTAATATGTAAAATGACCTATAACTGGAGACCTTTTATGAAATTTACTCAAATTTTAATGATATAGATTCATGTTGAAAACGTTAACGTTAAAAGTCACCGTCATCTTGAATAATTTCATATAGTGGCATTTTTTGAGTCTAAAAGTAAATTGGTCAAAATTACTAATAAATAATTTTTAATTTATAAATTAGTTGATGACATGTTTGTATGTACTTATAAGCTAACTTATAAACTCTTTATAACTCATAAAAATTAATTAGGTCTTACTTGCTTATTTTTATGTCAGTTTTTTCATTTTTCTATTTTGATCAAATTATTTATTAAACTATCTTTCATTATTTATTAATATTCTCAAATAATTTTTCTGTCATTTAAGTCATTTTATCTCTGTGAAATAATATTTGGCTTATAAATAACTTATAAATTTAAAAACTGATCATAAGCAATAAACTAATAAGCACCAAGCCAGAGAATATTCACATATTCTTCTAAAGAAGAAAAAGAGAAAAAGGAATTGAAAAATGTTGAAAACAACTAGAATAATGTTATATTATGTTATGTATGCTTGATTATTTGAACAAGTATTTTACTGCATCACATGATCATCTAGATGAAAGTCACACGATATGCGAATCCGATCAAAACAACGTTCTTAAGAATGTCGAATTGAAGAATGTCACGCAATAGGAGGTCATCACTCATCGATCAGCTTTTCATTACACAACATCGAAAATGACTAATGCACGAAGAACGTTCTTAAGAACGTTAGGTTGACATCTCCCACAAAATCGATTTAGATATTAACAAACAACAACAACAACCCAGTTGAATCCCACTACAGTAGGGTCTGGGGAGGCTGTTTCCAAGAGACCCCCGGCTCAACCTGCACAAAAATATGGTAGGGAACACAATATAACAGGGTAACAGGATATAACAGGATAAAGCACCAAGTACAATGAAATGAAAGTCCAACAAGCAAAAGTAGAAGATTCCAATCAAACACAACACACTACAAAAACCTCTGCAGCACCGCGCTCCTAACCAGCTACTTTAATCCTAGTCCGCCAATGGTTCCTATCTAAAGCCATATCCTCAGTCAGGGTGAGAAGTCCTAAATCCTGCCTAATCACCTCTTTCCAATTCTTCATAGGTCTACCCCTTCCTCTACTTCCCCCGATAACCGTGATCCTCTCGCACCTCCGTACAGGGGCATCAGCATCCCGACGTCTCACATGCCCAAACCATCTCAACCTCGCTTCCCGCAACTTATCTTCCACCGGCGCCATGCCTACCTGACGTCGAATAACTTCGTTCGAAATCCTATCCAACCTTGTCTTCCCACACATCCATCGTAACATCCGCATCTCCGCCGCATGCAGACGACGCACATGAGTCTTCTTAACCGCCCAACACTCTGCCCCGTATAACATAGCAGGTCTGACNGCCTAATCACCTCCTTCCAATTCTTCCTAGGTCTACCCCTTCCCCTACTTCCCCCGATAACCGTGATCCTCTCGCACCTCCGTACAGGGGCATCAGCATCCCGACGTCTCACATGCCCAAACCATCTCAACCTCGCTTCCCGCAACTTATCTTCCACCGGCGCCATGCCTACCTGACGTCGAATAACTTCGTTCGAAATCCTATCCAACCTTGTCTTCCCACACATCCATCGTAACATCCGCATCTCCGCCGCATGCAGACGACGCACATGAGTCTTCTTAACCGCCCAACACTCTGCCCCGTATAACATAGCAGGTCTGACTACGGATCGGTAGAACTTACCTTTCATCCTGGGTGAAATCTTCGGGTCACACAACACCCATGAGGCCAACCGCCATTTGGCCCAAGCCACTCCAACACGATGTCCAACATCTCCGTCTAACTCCCCATCCGCCTGGATTGCCGAGCCAAGATATTGGAACCTGTCTACCTTAGGTACTATGTGAGAGTCAATCCTAACTTTCACTTCTGATTCTGTTTCCCAGCCGCTGAAACGACATTCCATGTATTCAGTCTTGTTCCTACTTATTCTGAATCCTTTAGTCTCAAGGGCAAGGCACCATCGTTCCAACATATCGTTTAGTCCCTCACGTGTGTCGTCGATAAGCACGATATCATCCGCGAAAAGCATGCACCATGGGACCCCTTCTTGAACACCTTGAGTTAGGACGTCCATCACCAAGGCGAACAAAAAAGGGCTAAGGGCAGACCCCTGGTGCAACCCCATCCCTACTGAGAATCACTCAGAGTCGCCCCCGGAGGTCCTTACCCTAGTCATAGCCCCATCGTACATATCCTTGATCGCGCGAGTGTACGCGATGGGAACTCTTCTCGTCTCTAGGCACCTCCATAAGACCTCCCTTGGCACCCTATCATACGCCTTCTCAAGATCAATAAACACCATATGAAGGTCCTTCTTCCTAGCCCTATACTCTTCCATTAACCTCCTCACGAGGTGAATGGCCTCTGTAGTCGATCTGCCAGGCATGAAACCGAACTGGTTCTCAGAGATGCATACCCCTTTTCGCACCCTAAACTCAATGACTCGCTCCCAAACCTTCATGGTGTGGCTAAGGAGTTTGATGCCTCTGTAATTCTCGCAGCTCTGAATGTCACCTTTACCTTTAAACAAGGGGACCAAGAGACTCTCCCTCCACTCATCAGGCAGGCATCCTTGCTGTCCGAAAGATAACATTGAAGAGTTTGGTTAACCAAACCCACGCACCACGGCCCGCATGCTTCCAAAACTTCACCGGAATCTCATCTGGTCCCAAAGCTCTCCCACTACGCATCCCTCGGAGAGCCCGAACCACCTCTCCCAGGCAAATGTGTCGACAATACCCGAGACGCCCCGGACTGCCCCAGCTCATCAAGAACTAGCCTCTGGTCTCCTCCCGCATTTGAGAAATATCAAATCTCGTATCATATTCTTTCACCAAACATGCCTTAAACGTTCCTAAATCAATGGTAGCAAGAACCCCTCCGGTGTTCCCTCCCCAAAGTCTAGTGCTACAATTAGACGATGTATCCCAGAATAGAAAGAAAAACACCGTGAAAAAAAAGAGGAGAATATCTGAATTTTTCATACCCAATTAGACCATGTTGCCTAGGATGCATATTACGTAGGCAGCCTATAAACTCTAGATTCCAGATTGTATCATTTACCTGTACAGCTGCAAACCTGATTTGCATTATCTATACGTATTTCACATATCACAAATTCAATAAGGCTCTGTTTGATACATGGAATTCAAACTATGAAATTGAAATCGGAGACAATAGTTTTAATATCTACTGTTTGGTAGCACAAAAATATATGTATTTGGAATTGGTATTGCCAAAATTGAATTGGAATTTGGGTAATTGAATTCCATCCAATTCAATTCCATAGAATTTCAACTCTTAATTCAATTCCAATTCCACCAATTCCGTGTACCAAACAGACCCTAAGAACAATTTAGCCCCTCTTTCTTTACAAATTTGCAAACAGCATAATTTTCACAGTTCAGAGCTACACAGCATAATAAGCATTGTACTGATGTCTCTTCCCTGCATGCGTAAATGTAGAAACACAAGACATCAGCCCTAACTGTCACAAGTGAATCTATTAGTGAATCTATTTAACTGTGCTTTTATGACTGTAATTCTTGAAAAGCACTCCAAATGCTGTTAAAATAAACAAGTGGAAAGAATTGCATCTTGTACAAGAATGACTCTTTTTAGAGAATAAAATAATTACCCATTTTTTTCATTTCGGAGCGTTCAAAATTAAATACTCATTTACCACATTTAGTAAACGAGTTTTTGGAAATTACGAAAATGAGCATATTAGCATGGTTGTCATCAGTGAAAAACAAATTAATTTTAGAGTCATTTTTTATTTTTTGATCATTGCTCGAATATGAGTTTTGGAAAGTGGACAATCAAATTGAGGAGTAAATAACATGAGGGTAAATGTTCAATCATACCTAATATTAGGCATCTGATGTTGGTGCTTAATGGTTGATCAAATGATTCATTAGACATACAGCTCTCACTTCATACATGAAATTGGCCTCTTGTTTCCATGAGTGTAGTGCAGAACACCTGAAGATTGTTTGTTAGGGAAGCCATGTTGGGAACTCAGCACGGTATAGCTACGATTGCAATCTTCACCACTACTAGGCCCTGTATAAACCAAAAAGGAGTAAAAGAAATCTACTTAAATATGACTAAAATATGAAACTTATACCAAAATAAGACATATGCTTTTATCCCCTAAGTAGGAATGTTGGCAGTGTGAAATGCCCACAATTTGACATTTCACGGTGTTTTTTGGCATTCTAAGTCCTGTTTTGGTATGAAAACATTGAAGGTGCCATTTTGGTATATGGAGCATGTTTTAGTCCTAGTTTGGTATTTTCTCTGAGTAAAAAATGATACTCCGTAATAATGACATGATGTTATGAACTATGATGGACATTTCTCCAATACATGTAAGGGTGTTTCAGATTCTCTATAGTAAATGGTCAAGCATGAGACTTAGGCTGCACCAAAACGTGCTACGATCATATGGCAAAACAGTTCTTCTTCAATAGCATATGACACAACACATGGGGCAATCATGTAAATATTGAAAATAATAAAGGGGATATTTATGCATACATATACACATACAATTATATTCTTTTCTTCCGCACCCTTTTGTGCTGTCTTTTTGTAGCTTTTTTCATAGAAGCAACCTATATACACCTTGAGATAGAGGTGGAGTCTGTGTACATTCACCTTTCCCAAATCCTACATGTGAATTGATATATAGGGCATGTTTTTTTTTATGAAATTTGAAATATATTTTTTAATTGATAATTATGGTAATACGAGTTCTTCGTTTCCAACTCAATTCGTACAAATGGATTTCCATGGAAGGAAAACACAAAATGAAATGCTTCTTTATATACAAAATTTAACCTGAGACATTTTATACTTATGAAAATGGTCCTGAAACGTTTTAGAGGGTTTCCAATCGTAAATTTGAAAAACATCATAAAAGTAATGGTCTCTAGGAATGTAACCTGATGAGTTGGTGAGGTGCCGATAAATGGATGGAGAAGCTGAAGTACATCTTCCACATCCCATATTGGGGGATTGTACCCAATCGGTCTGTTTAAACTGCGGTGTCATTGCACAGTCTTCAAGTGTTATTCCTCCTTTAGTAGCAAGCTCCACTAACTGTTTTTCATCTATTCCTAAGCTCAGAAGTAAATTCCATAGGTTCTTATGTGCTGCCCTTTGATTATAAATGACTTGATCTCTCATTGCTATTTCAAGCTGAAGCTCAGTGTTCGACATCCCCTGCATTTTTTTGTAAATTAATGACTGGTCGACCCCACATCAAAATTGAAGAAAATGATGGGGAAAATGCATAAAATTCAATGCATTTTCATGCATAGTTTTCTTTTAGCCTAGAAAGGACAGTAAAACTATGAGTGCAAGCATCATCATCAATGCCACAGTCATTGTTGTAATGTAAATAATTGTCCAAAATTAGCAAACCCTATAAATCCATGCACAAAAAGGATAATGACAATGTTCTAAGTCGGATGCCCGTCTTGATTCAACCTTCTAAAGGGGGAATCTGCATTTGCATCTTGATTTTACAATATCAATTTTGCTATGGGGGTATGAGTGCATATAACCATTATGAATAAATTATATGTTTATATGCTGCCCTTAATCTCTATCAAAGTAATACATCAGAACAGTAATTTTACCAGAATTCTGTATTGATTGAGAATTCGCAAGTACGTTTTGTTCCCGTTGTTGCCTATGGCTTCCTCTATCAAAGCCTGTAGCTCATACCTTTGATTCTCATTTGCTTTGATTTCCTGCACGATGTTTGACTTATAGAAAGTGGTTCACTAAAATAGTAAGATCAGGCAGCACTAGCCAGGGAAACAAAACCAACCGTCTGGCATTTTGCACCAAGTTCATCATTGTCACGAATGTTGTCAAGAATGACTTGACGCCTTGCTCTCAGTTTTTGCACAACCACTCCTCTGTTTTCAATAGTCTAAGAGATGAAAATAAAATGTTGTGAAAAGTTCTAGGCACAAAAATTTGTGCATTACAGGCAAGATAAAAGTACATTATTAGTTAAATGAGGAAGTGATCTAGGTGATGAGCAACATAAATCAAATGCATAACTGCAAACCTGTTGTTTTGCAATTGCTTCATCAAGAATCTGCAGTTCGGTGCGGTTTTGGGTATTAGTTTCTTCAATTTCAAATAAAGCCTTCTGTAAATTTATCCTCTCATGAACATTTTCACTTGTTTCTAAGCTCAACGTCTCCAACCAAGAAAGTTCATGGTCCACATCTTTTTCACTAGGCATGGCACTTAGTTGAGATTCCTTCTCAGCTAGTTCCTTCCTCAATTGTCCAACTTCAATCTAGAAGGAAATTATCTCTTACCGAATCACATTTTAATGTAAAAAACATACTCTTAAAATAGACAAAGAGCTTACTTGAAGACTATCAATCATTCTTTGGTAGTCTGAAACATTGGTGTTAAGTGTGCCAACATTTTCCTGAAATGAANTCTAAGCTCAACGTCTCCAACCAAGAAAGTTCATGGTCCACATCTTTTTCACTAGGCATGGCACTTAGTTGAGATTCCTTCTCAGCTAGTTCCTTCCTCAATTGTCCAACTTCAATCTAGAAGGAAATTATCTCTTACCGAATCACATTTTAATGTAAAAAACATACTCTTAAAATAGACAAAGAGCTTACTTGAAGACTATCAATCATTCTTTGGTAGTCTGAAACATTGGTGTTAAGTGTGCCAACATTTTCCTGAAATGAATACAGTAATGTTTATGAGTGCGAAAGAAACTTGAATCCAATTATTAGAAAATTCACATTGATTATAGGCAATGAAAGACCTCGAGTAAACATGATTAACCTATAACATGGAATTATGGAAACATTATTCAGTACTAAGAATGAAACTTAGAATTCTATAAGATGATAAAAAAATATTAACGTCGAAGAAATTTGAATAACAAAGATTAGGAGTTTTGTTTATCTTTTAAAAACAAGAATAAGAGTGGACATTAAATAAATAGGGATATTTTTATGATTGATTCCAACTATACAATCTTCAAGTATCTTATAGGCAGATCAAATAATCAATATTAATTAAATAAATCTACTACACACTATGGCAAGTACTACAATCATCAAATCAACACCCTCTTGCACAATATTGTAGCAGCAAGAGATCTAAAAATGTTTAGCAACTTTACCAAAAAGACAATTACTGAAGCACGCGGCTCATTTATCAAATGTTCTAATAGAAGTGCATAGAAATCTAAAGGTTGGACTCCCACAGTCACACCTGGATATGAGTTTTAATTTCCTTTGCTCGGTGAGCATACTTCAACGTATTGACAGTATGGTGATACTGAGTATCGACTGGAGATATGGTTGCGATCATTATTGTCTGTGAATTACCACTCAGGCCATCTTTAAGAATACGTGTCAGTTTGCTGAAGAAATATAAGGAGATAATATTAATTACTCAATTTCATTATAACTTCATTCTACTGTAAGATGAATATAGATACCTATTGCGGTAAGGAACATAAGCTAGACCCTTTTTCTGTTGTTTCCCAAGAGCATTTATGCAGTTTGCCAAAGCAAGTAATGATTTATTAATGTTAGCTCCATCTCTTAACTTTTGTCCCCCACTTTTGGTTTCCGATGCTCTTTCACTGCACCATGGTTTTAAATCAAATTGGGCCATAGACAAACAAAAAATCAATAAGGAAAAAGGGTTATTGGATGGAATATAAAAGCAAACCTTCCAGCTAGATCAACAAGTGCAAGTTTTCCTTTAATAACCTGATTGGGATATTTAGCACATAGCTTTCTCGTCACTTGTATCTCCAGTACTGCATGTGAGCTGTCAATAGCATACAGATGTTGAAGAAGTAGACGATCAAAACAAATATGATAAAGTCCTTAAGTTAAATTTTATTGATGTCATTCTGTGGGTGCACTACATTGGTCACTACACTGTTGCTACAATTCAGCTTTTTACCAGTCATGTTCCAGGGTTCTGCAAGAATATGCTATGCATCCAGTGAAATAATGTGGAGTTTCGGCGTTAGGATGTAAAATATAAATGTAAAGTTGTTATGTCATCAGATGTCATTAGAAAGACTTAGAACTTTTAGAAGAAGACTGACTTATGCCCTACAAAGAACATGTAATTCTCCTTGGTTATGATTAGAAAATATATTCTCCATTTATTTCATATGGTACCAGAGCCAAGTATTTTTGGGTCTGAACCGTAGCATTTTGATAGCATTCAATACATGAGGATACTCAAGAATGGAGAAGGAGATCCTCGAGGATGAAGCTATGGTGATGAATCAACTTTGTAACAAAATTGAGATGAAAGAGAGAGATGAACCGAGAGATGGAGAGAAGAGGAGAGAAACTGGAAATCAGATTATTATTTCATTATATTGAATAAGAGAAAAATGGAATAAAGCAAATTGGCTCTCTAAACTGTCTACGCTTCTTGCAATTGTGAAGTAGCAGTTGGTCAAGCAACTTTCGATGCTTATCATGCGTCATCTGGAAACAGCCGCTCTATGTTTTAAACATAGGGGTCAGACTGCGTACATCAGACCCTCCCTTACCCCGCAATGGGCGGGAACCGTTGAGGCACTGGGGTAATGTTGTTGTTGTTGTATATTGAATAAGAGCAAGTAGAAAGGGGTATTTAAAGGCTAAAATGTCTAACTAAATCTATAACAAACTGCCAGCTAAGCTTGGAATTAGTTGCACTGCAACATTCCTTCCCCCTTAAAATAAAACACCCTAACCTCAAAGAAAAACGCCCTGCCCAGTACCAACTACAACAAATACCAAACAAGCCAACAAAAGTATTGCATTTATACTAATACTGGTTCCCAAAACAGATTCAGGAAACCTTTGCTCCATCTCTTTAGAATATGTCCATGAAGCAATTTCCACACTTGGTCATCCTACTTGACAACGTAATGCACAGAAACTTAGTACCTTGCTTGATCATTCCCTTTTCCAATACAATCAGTAGGCCTGAAACTAGGCCACAAGGTGACCCACACACTCCTTCCTTAGAGCTAATATGGAATGTGTGGTTTGTTTGCTAGATTCCAAGCTCCAAGGAGGCTGCCAAACTTGACTTATATTCCTCACTTTGTAGCTTATAGGAAATCTGAACACCTTAACTTTTGATAGCAATTGGTCCCACCTTAGCTCTTGATTAGTCTTGGATTGCATTTTGCTTGGAAAAGTATCTTGCTCCAATAGAATTCTGAAATTAGGTAAACAAGTGTGTCGTTTGAACAAACTTTCATACTGCTTTAGTAATAAGTAACCCTGAAATGAGTGTTCCAAGTAGATACAACTAAGCATTGCCAATCACTACGAGCCCAAACTTGCTCCTTTTTTCTATTGGCGGCATGTGTTTTTCTACATAACTGACTAGCTCCTCCCCTTGCTTTGAACATTTTTTGCCCTTCCAATATTTCAAAGTCCATGTCATCAATTGGAAACTCCTTTTCAGAAGGCTGATCACAGAGATAGCCTTAACTCTGAGCACTCCTTTCTATCTTTTTAGCTGCTGATACAATATTTGTAGGTTCAAATCTTTCTGCACTATTGTTAACTGATCTGGTCTCATAGCTTGTAAGATTAGCATTGCTACTGGGTTGACCCTTGCATTTAGTGAAAGAACTATTAGGGCTATTGTGGTAGTGTTTTTGACATTCACAATATTTTGGCAGTGTTTTATCCAATCTGAGCACCACCCCCCCCCCCTGCATCATGAATTACAAGTCCAGGAAACCCACCACTAGCTACCCTTCACATGCACTCACGCATTGTTCCTGATAAATAAATCAATTTCACATGTTTTTGCGATCAACACAAATCGTAACCCTTCCTAACATCGCTGGCAGCGATTCGCTGCTACCACAGGAGTTATCATCTCCCTTCAGCTAACCGACCAACACCTTTTCGGTACGCTCCCATGGTTCCACACTTTAAGCTCTGCAACCACTACCACACATTTCTGCCTTGAGCAGCCTCCAAGGTCTGTTTCCTAAGAGTCTTTTTCTAGGTTATTCCAACTCCATTCAACTACTCTAACGGCCTTCAGTGTCTAATTTTGGACAATCATGCAAAACTTGTCTGGAGTGTGATTTTTATTATAAAACTGACCAAACGAAGGATTAATGTGGGGAGCTACACAGGAGAACTCAACATTATACCTTTGATGTCCTAGAGAAAGCAAAATTGCAACAAGATTAGAGCATATGATTTGTACGCTCCAGCTTTGGGGGGGGGGGGGGATAAATAATGTGGAGTGCAGTTGCTAATATTTAAGAAAAAATAGTCGTATAGCTGTTATCTAGAGGTATGACATCCTTATATGTCATCTTGGAGGAAGGAGACTAAGACTTAGAAGAAAACTCACACAACAACAACAACTACCTTGTTGGGTCCCACAAAGGGGAGGATGTGGGTACGCAAACCTTGTCTCTACTCAACAGACTTAGAAGAAAACTCAAGTCCTATAAATAACTTATAATTCTCCATGGTTATGATTAGAAAATATATCCACTTTATCTATATTAAGCATCCGCCTAAATACCCATAGAGGTGACACTTCTTTACCTCAAATGCAAAAAGCAAATAATAGTTATTCTACTCACCGTGAAGAAGTTTCATTGGCTTCAGTGGTATCAGTTTTTCGCCTACTGTTCCCCAAATTTAAAAGCTCAAGAATTTTATCAGATGACTTCACCTAGATAAAGCAACAAAACTAATAAGTACATACAAAGATGCTAAACGTTAATTCAGCAAAGCATAAATGTAGTCCATTTATGAAAAAGAGGTATTATTGATATCAAATTTAAAAAGTTTCACTTCAAGAACCTAAGGAGGGGGGTACAGCATCACCAACAACAACAAACCCAGTACAATCCCAACTCTTTAGGGGTCTAAAGTCAAGATGTAAGCAACTCTAGCCCTTTAAAAAACAAAGAATTTATATATGTTAGACCATTGATGCATGCATTGCTTCGTTTACTACCATAAATTTCATAGTAAGTATTAGAGTAAGAAGCAAGGGAAGCTTAATTTCATTGTGCAAAGTATTACAATTTAAATATTGCATGCTATAACAGAGGTTTTATTCCATGGTTTACACATTGGTTTTACAACATCCACCTTGTAATGGAATAGAACATGACAATAGCAGATATCTCATCTTATCACCGTCTTATAATATTATCCATGTGAAAATACTATATGATTCATCTCATTATTCCTTTTTATGAAGGGCATCCGACGTAAAACATTTCCACTATTAAAATGCTGATAATGATGAAGAAAATGCAGTGCAGAGATGGCTTAAAACTACTTGACCTAGCAAGGATACCGTTATAAAATTCTTACTACTTCGCGTGTTCTTTGAAAACCTATTTTCATGACTTGTATTTGTATTAAAAAGGTTGGAAAGAATGTGTTCATTTTAAATCCTTTCAACGTTTACGTTGTTTGGTCATTATGTTTCTTTTTTTGGATCAAAACTCTTTTTCTACGGATCCCTTATGGTGACAACTTTGTTATATCACGAATTACGATAGCACATAAACCTTAGAAAAGACCCTCAAGAACCACACAGACCATTGAGACCAATGATGCTTTACAAAGCTGTCGTATGGAATCACTTCAAAGTTCAAACAAATATGTGCAAGAGTTTGGCAAATCTTGAAGGTGCCAGAAGGATAACAAACCTTAATGCATCTTAGACCAGCAACCACTATTCCTTGCCCTGGATTCTCTCTAAGCTCTAAGTGACTTGATGATTTCTCAAGTAAATCATAAATAACCTGCCCCCACCAAAGACTGGCTTCATACATTTTAGTTACAACTACATAACATGCATGCATTATTGATATATAAGCTTCTCACCTCATTGTACACTTCTAGGTACGAGCAAGTAACATCGAATTTGTCAGAGCTGTTCTCCTTGTTAATAAGATCGAAAATTGTGTTAAGACTCAGAACCATAAGTCCAGGATCACCTTTATTCCCAACCATTGTATATGTTTTACCACTGTGAGGAAAACAATACTCATAAGCATATATTTGAAATATGTAAACACAAAACAAGTCAAATAAGAATCACAAATTAACACCAGCATCTCAGAAACATGCTGGTCATCTTAGATGGGGAATGGGGTAAAATGAGATGCTTAAAGCGTATGACATGCCTTCCAGTAGCTCCATAAGCAAACACAGTTGCATTGAGCCCTTGAATAACTCCAGCTATTGTAGATTGGATACTTTTCTTGTACACATCCTGAAAATGGAGCAGTGAAGTCAATCAACTATGAATAAGAAACTAATCCTCCTATCGACCAGGCAGCCCTTTTATGGATAAGGAAAAGAGACACAGAAACTGGAATTTTGATTAAAAATTATTAACTACAATAATAACCACTACTGGCCGCTGGTATCAACGAGCAGGCACAAGCACACACACCAGCCTTTATAACTTTATGCCACACAACATTCTTTTCATCCTCTACAAAAAGACTGGGGTTTGACATTAAAGTTAAGCTGCAAGCTCTTAATTTATGCAAAAGAATGTCTTAACTCACGTTACAACAGCAAAAATGAGTAATGTTGTTAAAACATGCTAGGTGGCCACTTAGGTGCTAGTCGGCCATCATTATTTGTTTAGTTGTGTCATCTGTTAATTGAAGAATGTAAAGAACGATTACTAGATGTATGCAGTATGTTTTGGTTGATTATGTTATGTAAAAATCGTTAGATTTTCATTTCACAAAACATGCAAACTTTTTAAAAATATTACTGGTTAATTTAGCCATTTAGAGGTATATACATATTTATTAGGACTTGAATAATTTTGTCAAATTTCATTTTAAAAGAATACATAGGAACCACATAGACTACCTAGATGCTAGCCTTTCGTCATAGCACCTCCTTGCAACATTGGAAATGAGAGATAAATATTTATTTATTATCGCGATTAAGGAGCACATGACAGTGATGTGAAGAGACCAATAATATTGGATCTTCAATTTGATGCTGTTGAGCAATATTTACATGACAAAGCAAACCTCACACAATTAGCGAACCGTTTTAGCATACCACATTGTTGAAGTTAGGTCCAAATGCATAATCATAAGAGTATCTTCTCTCTTTGGTATTATTCCGTAAGCGTTCCAGGTAATCCTTTGATAGGTCAGGATCCAAAACAAGCACCTCCTGCAATCAGCATTGCCAAAAACAATTGCCCAATGCGTGCCAAAAAAAAAAAAGAAACAGGAACTTTTCGGGAAAAGTTAACGAACAATCGAAGGTAGGCGCACTTTCTCATTGAGGATTCTAATTATACCACGAGTGCTTTCTCCTTCAGTAGATGGTCGGCACTTTACAGCCACCTACATCCACAAAAATGACAGAAACAAGAATTCAAGTAATGTATAAGATCAAACGGGATGCAAAAATTAGAAAACCTAACACCGAACCGTTAAAGTTGTAGTTCTCTTGGTAGCTGGAACTCTAATGCTTGGCATGATTATCCACCATCCGCCCCAAAATTTCAGTCAAACATCAAAGCTGCTCATGAGCTCATCCCGCCAGTTGCAACCACATAACTCACCTTATTGATAAGTGTTAACTCCTCTTCTATAGCCCTAAAGTTCTGTTCATTCCTCACATCTACTACAAGAAGCGATGAAAACTAATTCAAATTTTGAATCATAGCAGAAGCACGGAGTCACTCTCAAAGCATCCGGCCAGATGAAGCACAAAAGCACCAATCCTCAAATTCAATAAAAACAATATATCGCAACATTGACGGTCGATAGGAAATCGATCACATTTCAATAGATAAAGTCATATCAAATGCAACGGCTTCCAGCTACACTCGCCTTGTTCCGATCACGAAACGAGTGAGAGAGGGAGACGACTTACAGAGATCGGAAATAGCTCGGAGAGGATTGAACGCCGGAGGAATCGAATTCTGATTGACTGAGTTTGAGTGTGAAGAAGAACAAGAGGAGGAGGAGGTTGAGGTCCGTTTATGGAATCATGAATGAGCAAAGCGTTTCACAATGCGCTGAAACGGACGAATTTTCCTACACGTACTGATTTTGTTTTATTATTGGTGGGAAAAAATGGGGAAAGGTGGGGGCAATTATGTGGGACTGTAGAAAATGAAGGATCGGATCGGGTGGGACCGTCTTCTTCTTCCTTTGTCCTTTAGATCTTTTTGAAATGAGAGCATCTTGTAATAAAGTTGAGGGTCGTGGACACAAAATTATTATTGGGTACTTCCTATTTTGCTTTTAAAATAGTCTATTCCACCCTAAAAAATTGTCACAGTTTAATTTTTTTGGTTAAATTGTATCATCCTAATTACAAATTATGAAAAAAAAATATTTAGTTAAGATGTAAAGTTGGTTTGCTTTGAAATATTGTTTTGAAATATCTAATTTTTATAATATTTAATCATTTTAAATTATATTTAATTTTTGGTCAAAAGGTTTGACCAAAAACTCAAATTGTGGCAATCTTTTAGGGACGAAGATAGTATAGTTTAGGGGTATTTAAAGTCCGTGATAGTATACTTCGAATGTACATTCCATTCATTTTTCTATTATGATTGAAAATTTTGTTATTTGACCAATTAAATATAAAAAAACTTACCCTTTGGTAATTGGCACCTCACATTTTCAACATAACACAATTCTGAATTTTTAAAACATACGGAGTAATAAAAATGGGTTATAATTCCCTTGTGGTTTTGAAAAATGGGCACCAATACCTCCACTATCAAAACTTCAGCTACACTTCCGAAGCATAAAATACGAACGCTAGAAATTGACTGGTAGAGGGGGCAGAGCTATTTATTATCGATGGACTACATGAGGATATTAAAAAATTTGTAGGTGACTTTTGAAAACAACATGATATTAATGCCTATTTCTCAAACTACATGAGGCGCCAGAGGCATTTATCGATGGACTTACTTTGTGGGTTATCCTAATCATAATGGTTGGGATGTAAATGAAATAAAAATGTACTAATTTTGATTGGATTTGTGATTTATATTAAAAAATAATGATCTGCATTTGCAAAAAGTTAGGCAAATGATATGAGCAATGAATCATGGTGTGGAATGGGTATCCAGTGTGTGATCGAGTTTGAGAGTGTGGGTTTCTCGAGTGGACATGGTGGGTTTCCAAAGTATTCTCTTATAGACCGGAGGGTCTTTACAAGGCAGCAATCAAGGGTCATCTTCAGTGAATTCAAGATCCAATTGCGGCGAAAGTGATGTTGTAAATATTTTTCATTAAAAAGAATCAGATTATCAATATCCCAGAGATATACTTTTGAATTTTGATATTTCTCTGATGTTTTCCACTTTTTTTACATTTCTAATTTCTAAAGCAATGTGGTGGTTCCAAATGGAAATATTGACTAGGTTAGCAATCAGGCTTACTTTGAGCAAACAATCTAGCAACAATGGTAGTTACACTATCAACTACGTCAAGCTCACTAATATGCAGGTGTTGGTTTGCTTTTTGTCAAATTTCATATTTCCATTATCTTCTCTCATGAGAAGGAATGTATAATTCAAATGAGTTCACTTTCTTCTACACAAATTATAACAATACAAATTTAATGTTTCAATACTTTTTTTGAACTCTATGAACGCAAACCATAAAAATTTTGTGGGAACGGTGGGAATATTTCAAAGGGTATCTTCTTCGTTTTTTTTGAAGGAAGTCCAAAGGATATCTAGAATTATTAACAATAAGCATTTGGCGCTTGGTTTACAAAGATTTTCTTTTTTTAGTGTAAAATTTTAAAACCAATTTTTTTTGAGAGAAACAGTTCTTGAAACATTACTCTCTCTTTTTAAAGACATAGTGAATAACAACTAATAATTCAAGCAAACATTCATACAACAACATATGGAATAAAAACAAAAACTATACTATAGTTGTGTATATTATTCATTCAAAAATCTCTTTATTGAAAATTGGAAATTGGAGTGCACATATATAACATATGATTGTTTCCACAGTTCAAGTTCTGGCACTAACTTGAGAAGTGTTCTTGGTTAAAACTCCGGATCAAACTGGCAGAATCTGAGGAATAATCAAATGATGTCTCTGTTCCATCGCTGACCGGTGTTTCTATAGCTTCTGTAACAGCTCTGGGAGGCAACTGCAGGCTATCAGTATCTCCAACAAGCATGTCCACCACTTTGTTCATGGAAGGCCGGTTATTAGGGTTCATCTCAATGCACCACTTGGGGTGGTATTGGTAGAAGAACCGATAAGATAAAAGGAGGAGACACCACGGTGGTTAGAGCCGTAGAGAAGGTAGTGTTTGAACCAACATCTGGGTAACACCCTTCATGACCGAACTTAGAAGACAAACGTGTAAACCAAATACGGAGAAGGGACAGTACAGATTATTGTTGTAGGGCTTCGATATTTGCAGTCGAATGTGGGATACCCGTCCTATGTTCTTATAGAACAGCTCTGGTGCCATGTATCCGATTGTTCCTCTAACTGCAGTCAAGGTTGCTATCCTGTTGTTGTCTGTTGAGTACAATCTTGCAAGTCCGAAGTCGGAGACCTTTGGGGTGAAATTTTCATCAAGAAGAATGTTATGGGGCTTGATATCGAAATGAAGTATTTGCATGTTGCAACCTTGATGTAAGTACTCGATGCCACGAGCCACCCCTAGGGATATCTGGCGTAATTTCTCCCAAGTCATTGTTGATGCCGACCCTTCTTGAGAAAGTACGTATTTATCAAGAGACCCATTTGGCATGAATTCATAGACGAGAGCACGCTTGGTTCCCTCCACACAAAAACCAATGAGTTGCTCCACATTAACATGGTGAATTCTTCCAATAGTTGCAACTTCGCTGATGAAATCCTCTCCGTTACCTTTTGAATTCACTAGCATCTTTATAGCAGCAAATTTACCACTACGAAGCTTTCCTTTATACACTGCCCCAAAGCCTCCTTTTCCTAATGTGTCTTTAAAGCCTCCAGTCATCTTCTTGATCTCCGAGTAAGAATACCTTATTGGCATAAGGTTGTTGTGTTTCTGTAGGAATTCTTCAACTTTGTCATAAGCCGATAAATGTCTCCTTCTCCATTTGTAGATCAACAATGCAATTACTAATGGAGTCCCTAATGTTGTTTTTGTTGCTTGAAGAAGACCTGTAAATGAAATCTCCAGTATGTTTAATGAAGTAGTCTGCTACGTTGCAGATTTGGAATTTATTTGATTCTTATGTCAAACAATTGCATGGTATTATTCATTGATACATTTGGCATAATGGCATGCATGTACATGTCATCAACAAATAAAATAAATTTCCCAATTCGAAATTAGATGATACAGACAACTAGTCCTTACCAATCACATAGATTATGCTCAAATATGATCCTGCAAAAAACGTTGAAACTAGTTAATAAGGTCCTATTTACTTCAGTAAGAGAAAGGAAACTGATATAACGGGAATATCCATGCCCTACCCTTCAATGTCTTCAATATTTCAATAATTATGCCAAAAACGTGGGTATCACCTTCATTGGGGAGTGAAAAAACAAAGTGTGTTTAGGAGCAGAACCATAAATAACTGAAACAAGAGTAGGTACACACACACACNCAAATAAAATAAATTTCCCAATTCGAAATTAGATGATACAGACAACTAGTCCTTACCAATCACATAGATTATGCTCAAATATGATCCTGCAAAAAACGTTGAAACTAGTTAATAAGGTCCTATTTACTTCAGTAAGAGAAAGGAAACTGATATAACGGGAATATCCATGCCCTACCCTTCAATGTCTTCAATATTTCAATAATTATGCCAAAAACGTGGGTATCACCTTCATTGGGGAGTGAAAAAACAAAGTGTGTTTAGGAGCAGAACCATAAATAACTGAAACAAGAGTAGGTACACACACACACTGCCTCAATCTTGCCGCATCACCTTTGACACTTTTTTTTCTTCATTTTAATTAGTTTAAACAATATCTCAACAATTCCTATCATCCTTTATATAATTCCTAGGATGAAAGCTGGAGAATTCGAAAGTGTCAAACCAAAATTCCTGGTACACACCAACTCGTCTGCATTGATAGTCATCATCTCCCAAATGGAAGAAGCCGTGGAGTTCACACATATATACTGAAGGGGGACCTGTAATTATGAAGAATCAGAAGATTAAACAGGGAAATGTGAATGGAACCAAACATGGAGGCAGGCATATGAGTTTCTAGGTATGAACGTATATACTTCCAGAACATTCGGGACTGCCCCTGGCATCGAATAAATAGCAATAAGCATGGCACTTTCGGTCGCAGTTGATCATGTACCAAGTGAGTTCAAACCCAGACACAAGACCTCGGTGCATCTCTTCGTAGGACGTATAATTCGTGGTTGGAGGAATCAAAACTGACTTCTCTATGGTACACTGCTCCCTCAAATCCCCAAAAGTAGTTCGGTCTCCATCAACTAGGTACGAATACTTGTTCAAGGTTGAATAGTTTTCGGAGTTCAAGCAAGGAGAAGAGTCAACAAAGGAAGAATGCATCAGCGGAGTCGGGCAGCTCACTAGGACCATACTCTTTGAGAAGGATGCTGGGGAATATCTTGTCAGGTTCCACTGGTAAAGGCCATAAGGATCTCCGCCGCTGAAATTGTTCGGTGTCAGAGGAAAAATGGGGAAGGAGGAGCAATCGCCGTCACGAACACCGACATCTGCGACTCTGATGGTGAAGTTGCTGTAATTGATGGCGCGCACATAGTACCTCCCGGAGTAGAGACGGAGCACGGTGGCGTTGCTGTCGCAGTACAGGGTGAATCTATCGTCTCCGCAGTCTTCTGGGTCGGTGTCCAGCCGGAAAGGGAAGCTGATGTTGCGGATCTCGCCGCAGGAAGACGGAGCGCAGCCGCCGCCGCAAGCTGGGAAGAGAAGCGAATTCACGAGCACGGCTGCGATCAACAGTCCCCTCCTGTGAGATGATGATGATGATGATGATGATTGCTCCATGAGAAGTAGAAGAAGGACCTCTTCAGCTCTTGAAACTCTATACCACGAGGAAATAGTCCCGCGCTCTCACTCGTCACATAACGTCAACAGTCAACACCCACCCACCCCAGTCAGTCAGAGCTCATGAACAAACCGAGAAGCTCAAGGTTAGGGTATGTGGAGTTTTGAATATTCTTTTTTCCCCATTTTAACACATGAGGATACTATTAGTCTACTACCCGGGCAAAATGCCTGTCACCAGGAATCGCATTCTCGTCTTCTGCTTCTTCATACTGTTCTTCACGGCGGCGGCGGCGGCTGGGGCATTAGTAGACCAGAATGAATGCCGAGAGACGAGGTGCGGGCGGCACGGCCCAGCCGTGAAGTTCCCGTTTTGGATCAAAGAGAGGCAGCCGGCGGCCTGCGGATACCCCGGTTTCGATCTGATCTGCGCCTCCAAAACCCTGCTGCTGCAGTTGCCCAACTCCGTCAATCTCTCCGTCAGAGCCATCGATTACGCCTCTCAGTCTATTACTGTAGCTCCTTGGGGCTGCCCTGCGACGATGTTTAGGAAATTAAATGTGTCCTCTTCTCCTTTCCAATTTGTGGACGGGAAGGATGAGTATACATTACTCAATTGCACCGTGCGAACAGAAGAGCCGCCATGGCCGCTACTGATTCCTTGTCTGAGCGATCCCGGGGGCGGCTACCAAGTATTTGCCTTATACAGTTTGAATGGTGTTGGTGGTATTTTCTATGATTTTTTACAGTCATGTACCAAGATGTATGACATCACAGTTCCAGAAAGTGTTCTTACAAACCCCTTTAAAATGAACTGGTCCTGGCCTGTATGTAGATTTTGCGAAGAGGAAGGTAAATATTGCAAGCTGGTGCAGCAAAAAACCAACCAAACTGAATGTTATGATCTGCCAACTCAAGGTATGTGTGTGTGTATGTAATGTAATGTAATGTGTGGTTTCCCTACCCACCAGAACTGAATGTTATGATTTCCTCAAGTATCTTGTCCATCCCCATTTATTTCAATTCATTTGGATAAAGGATTGAATTATTCATAAGATTGTTACCCAGCATTGCAAAGTTAAAAACTAGCCGCTCTAAAACTGAACTCACCTGGGAAAAACAGTTCTGAATCGCCCCGTAGTAGATTTTTTCAGGTCTAGTTTTCGGTCCTACCCTCTATCACATTCCAATTTTTTGAATTCGGGGTTTTGGACAGGTGTTCACCACTTCACCCTACTTTGTAAGAAAAGATTTTGTGTTCAAATATTTCTCTATTTTCTTCATAAAATTAATCACACAATTTCATTTTTTTACAACATACAGAAAGACTGGTAACGATTCAGAAGATTGGAAAATTTTCAGCTATTCAGCCCTGAATAGTTAAGGGTTAATGACTATAAAAAAGAAACATTCCATTTGTACACCATGGTGTCTATCAAAAAATGTTCACCTACAACACTTTTCGGGGCGTGCATTTTTCACAACAAGTGATGTTGGTGAATGTGTCAAACCTTCACGTGTTGTTAGTGAAAACTGTCCATACTCTGATACTCATAAGCGTTGTAGGTGAAAATTGTCTTTAGTGTACATGCTAATAGACCCAGGGCATAGTTGAACAATAAAGTGAAGGTTTAGGTTATTAACTAGGGGAATAACTACTCTGTATTATTTGTTTCTGTTTTGCAGGCTCTATTAAAAAGAAAGTAATTGCAGGTTAGCCTACCAACTCAATTCCTACATTAACAAAATCACATTCCCCAAATGATAACATGGCAAGGGATTTTTTGTGCATGTGCAGGTGCAGTCTTAGGTTCGGTCTTTCTTATAGCAGCACTTGTTGTTGTCTGTTATAAGTATACACTTGTAAGAGCAGAGAGAAAGTATCAAATCAAGGTCAAGAAGTTTCTAGATGATTACAAAGCTTTGAAGCCCACAAGATTCTTGTTTGCTGATCTCGAGAGGATGACGAATCAATTTTGGTTCGAACTCGGAAAAGGAGGATATGGAACTGTTTTCAAAGGGAAGCTATCCGATGATGTCATAGTGGCTGTTAAGGTCCTCAATGATTCCAAAGCAAAAGGGGAGGAATTTATTAATGAAGTTGGAACATTGGCAAAAATCCACCACGCCAATATTGTTCGCTTGATCGGTTTCTGTGCGGAGGGGTTTAAACGGGCTATAGTGTACGAGTACTTGCCAAATGATTCGCTGCAGAGGTTCATTTCCTCAGCAGACTCAAAGAATCACTTTTTGGGTTGGAAATCTTTAGAACGCATTGCAATTGGCATAGCCAAAGGTATTGAGTATCTTCATCGGGGTTGCGATGAAAGAATATTGCATTTTGACATCAGGCCCCACAATGTACTTCTTGACCACAATCTCAATCCCAAAATGACTGATTTTGGCCTCGCCAAGCTTTGTTCCACGGATCAAAGCTTGGTGTCTATGACCACGGCGAGAGGCACCATAGGCTATATGGCACCCGAAGTGTTCTCAAGAAACTTCGGGAAAGTTTCATACAAATCGGACGTTTATAGTTTCGGGATGTTGTTACTAGAAATGGTGAGTGGAAGGAGAATTGTTGACACTGAATCCAACATGGAGGATCAAGTAAATTTCCCAGAGTGGATTTATAATGTCCTTGACCAAGGGGAAGATCTAAGGTTTGACATTGAAGAAGAGATCGATGTAAAAATTGGAAAGAAGCTAGCTATCGTTGGGTTGTTGTGCATCCAATGGAATCCCGTTCACCGGCCATCAATGGGAATTGCCCTTCAAATGTTGGAAGGGGAAGGAGATGATTTGAGCGCACCTCTGAATCCATTCATAGCTAAAGCGCCTTCCACAAGAAACACGAGTGCAATAGCTAATCACATTCGTCAACGGTTGGAAGCGATAGAGGAAGTTGAGTGATCATGGGTGCACATATGTATGCTCAGACAATTATAAATATTATTACATCTTTCATTTTAAATAATACAAACAATAAAAGAGAGAGCTTTTATAGCATACTTCATTTATATTACCAATGATATGTCAATCAAGGATGTTATTTTTGTTGAGTAAACACATAATTTATCAAAAAATTGCAAGAAATATATCTTTTAAAATACGATGTGACTTTTATGTTATAAAATACTCCCCTCGTCTCACAATAGATGCCCTTGTATTTATATTCACAATAACCTATGTTTATTTGTAATTTTTATTGGTTATTTGATAAAATAAAATATTATTTTGAACTATTGTTTTGTAAAACTTTGACGTAGTTGTTATGTATGTAAGTCATACTTTAATTTTTATTTTATACCAATTCTTAAATAAAATAAACTAAAAAAACATGGAATTTTTTTTTCATTTTAAAATAGGAGTACAGTTTTATTAAGGAGACAACCTTTGATACTATTAAGAAGACAATGTTTGATAATTTGTACACGGTACACTAAAGAGAATGTCACTTAACTATTCATTTTGTTAAAAAAGGTCACTGCCTTTACGGAGTACTCCATCCGTCCGGAAATTTTCTTCCCGTGTTGACTTAGCACGCTTATTAATGAATAGTAAAAAAATGCAAAATTTTCAAAAATGCACTTACCATAAACTTTTAAATATCCTTTTATTATTAAAAAAGTATTTAAAAAGTAGATTTGTGATAAAATAGAAGAGTATAATTGATATTTAGCCTTAAAAAGCATACTAAAAAAGGAAATGAGAAGAATATTTCCGGACGGACTAAAAAGGAAAATGGGAAGAATATTTTCAGACGGAGGGAGTATTTTTTTAAAAGATGTCATTGAACTCTTAAAAACATTCAAAAGTGTCAATTAAGCATTATATTTTGTCAAAAGTGCCACTCTCTTTTTTTCTTCCAGTAATGCCATAAATTTCTAATATTTTCAAAAATGCCACTAAAAGTTCTTTTGTTTTTTGAATATCTCTAAAAAAAATTAACCGTGTGGCGGTAGCATGCTACTGTGTCACAGTAGTTGGCTACCGTTACCGCGTTCCTGGTTCGGAAATTGCACCGTACTTCACCTTCAACCTCAGCTCAAACTTTCTAAGTATTATTTTGAGCTATCAAACTTCAATTTAACTATATAAAAATGTTTTCTAACATTCATAGACTATTTTTGAATAATTAATTTGAAGTTTCAACAACAATTTGAAGATTTATGATTCTTGGTTTATCAAAAATATATTTTGAACTTCTTTACCACATAATTCAATCAAATGATTGTTTATGAATGTAGAATCGATCTATATGTACATTTAAGCCACTATATATATATATATATATATATATATATATATATATATATATATATATATATATATATATATATATATATAGGGGCTCACTTCAAGCTTAAACGAAGAAAATGGAAATTTAACAGAAAAACTTTTGGCGAACACCACAGCTATCTCTAGCGACTTCAAGCTCTCCAAGCAGCACTACTGCGTTCTCCACATTCACAGCTAACTCTCAGAACAAGAATCAAGGGAAATAGTGAAGAAATGAGGAGAAGAAATGGGGAAGAAACCATAGTAGAGGCGTGCGTCGATCGAAAAATCTCGTAGTAGGTTGGGCGGCGATCCTATGATATTTATCTGAATTTGACTAATTCTATTTCAATCGGGGTATAATTTTTTATCTAACTTTCTCCAAATTAAAATCCGATTGCACCGTTGCGATCAGTCATGCAAGCTCTACGCAACTATATACTTTTTATATTTATTTGAAATACTTTTTCTGATGTCATATTTTTGGATATTTGACTTGACACAGTCAAAATTGATTTAGTTGACCTTAATTCAAAAAGATTCTCACATTTATTCAATATTATTCAAATTAATGATTTATTTTATTAAATCATTTCAAGAGTTCACAACATCAATCAATGCAATTTAATATTTGTTTTGTTCATACTCTCGGTATGCAATCAGGTTCACTTTAAAATATTGGATTTATCTCTATGAGATATCCAGGTATATGATATTGGATATCAATTAATCATCATAAAATGTTTTTAGATTTGCTCCAAGGCCTAACAATAATTTACTTTAATCAAAATAAACTTGTTTAATTAAATAATAATTCAATAAAACTTTTAGGGTATGTTTATAGGCATTACAAAAATATTCTCTACTTGACTGTTATTTAATAGGTATTTTTGGCAGAGAACTATTTAGAAAATATATCTTAATTATAAAGAAACATGTTGGTAATTATTACTTATTGAGGACTAATTTCGAAAAAACATCTTATTAGAAATGACCGTTTTGGAAATTCACTCTTAGGGCTGTTTTGCAACTTCTGAATGGGTAAGTGCTGAACCAGTAAGAGGTCTGAATCATTAAGTGTTGAACCAGTAAGAGGTCTGAACCATTAAGAGCTAGTATATTGCTTAACTATTCAGAGGCAAATGTCTGATCAATTCAGATAAGAGCTCTTAACCATTCAGACTCTGTATAATACTTAACCATTCAGAGGCAAATCTCTTAACCATTCAGACATCTGAACCATTAAGAGGCTGAAACAAACAGTCTGAACCATTAAGTGCTGAATTATTCAGACATCTGAACCATTAAGATGCTGAAACAAACAGCCCCTTACTATTGTTGTTGTTGTTGTTATTAATTATTATTATTATTATTATTATTATTATTATTATTATTATTATTATTATTATTATTATTATTATTATTATTATTATTATTATTATTATTATTATTATTATTATTATTATTATTATTATTATTATTATTATGTTTATAACTATAATTTTTAAACTACTTGAACTTAATTTTTTCTCATACCACTATTTTGTGACTCACACTTATTATTATTATTTTCTTCCATTTTTTAATATAAATAATACTTCGTACAATTTTATTAGAAAAAATGTTTTTAATTAATTTACGTGACACTAAACTATGTTCCAAAAGTTATGAACATGTTATTAATCTAAATTGATATGGGAAAATATCAATATTTAAATTAAAAATAATAATTATACTATTCCCTCTGTTCTTAATTAAACGGCATGCACACTATTTACATGTTCAAATTTTATTCACTTTTTTTATCAATTATGAATATAATAATAATAATGACAATAATAATAATAATAATAATAATAATAATAATAATAATAATAATAATAATAACTGCTAACATATATACAATAAAATCATCTAACCTGACTCTATTATAAATACTAATAACATAAAATAACAGCATATCAGAGTGCATATATATAGTTGTACAATATGGCAAAATATATGATTGTTTCCACAGTAAAACAGTTTAAGTTCTAGCACTAACTTGATAACTGTTCTTGGTTGAAACTCCGGATCAAACTGGTAGAATCGGAGGAACAATCAAATGATGTCTCTGTTCCATCGCTGACCGATGTTTCTATAGCTTCTGTAACAGCTCTGGGAGGCAACTGCAGGCTATCAGTATCTCCAACAAGCATGTCCACCACTTTGTTCATGGAAGGCCGGTTATTAGGGTTCATCTCAATGCACCATAACCCCACCATAACCATCTTCTTGGCTATTCTATTTTCCTCCTCCGTGGTGCCACCAATTTCAGCATCTCTTCCATCACAAACCTGGTTGTAGACCCATTGTGGGAAGTACTGGCTTGAATCTTCTGTTTGCACATTTGGTTTATGCCTCTTCCCTGTCATGTCTAATAACAACATCCCGAAGCTATAAACATCAGCTTTGTGGGATACCCGTCCTATGTTCTTATAGAACAGCTCTGGTGCCATGTATCCGATTGTTCCTCTAACTGCAGTCAAGGTTGCTATCCTGTTGTTGTCTGTTGAGTACAATCTTGCAAGTCCGAAGTCGGAGACCTTTGGGGTGAAATTTTCATCAAGAAGAATGTTATGGGGCTTGATATCAAAATGAAGTATTTGCATGTTGCAACCTTGATGTAAGTACTCGATGCCACGAGCCACCCCTAGGGATATCTGGCATAATTTCTCCCAAGTCATAGTTGATGTCAATCCTTCTTGAGAAAGTACATATTTATCAAGAGACCCGTTTGGCATGAATTCGTAAACCAGAGCGCGCTTGGTTCCCTCCACACAAAAACCAATGAGTTGCACCACGTTAACATGGTGAATTCTTCCAATAGTTGCAACTTCGCTGATGAAATCCTCTCCGTTGCCTTTTGAATTCACTAACATCTTTATAGCAGCAAATTTACCACTACGGAGCTTTCCTTTATACACTGCCCCAAAGCCTCCTTTTCCTAATGTGTCTTTAAAGCCTCCAGTCATCTTCTTGATCTCCGAGTAAGAATACCTTATCGGCATAAGGTTGTTATGTTTCTGTAGGAATTCTTCAACTTTGTCATAAGCTGATAAATGTCTCCTTTTCCATTTGTAGATCAACAATGCAATGACAAATGGAGTCCCTATTGTTGTTTTTGTTGCTTGAAGAAGACCTGTGTATGGAATCACCAGTACATATAATAAAGTAGTTTGCTGTAAAAAAAATTTAGTTTGTTTGATTCTTATGTCAAATAATTTCATATTATTTGTTAACTTGTTTAGCCTGTACATGCCATCAACAAATAAAATAAATTTCAAAATTCCAAATAAGAGGATAGAGATGATTAGTCCTTACCAATCAGATAGATTAAGCTCAAATATGATCCTGCAAAAAAGGTTGAAACTAGTTATTAAGATCCGATTTACTTCATTATGAAAAAGGAAATTGGGATATCCATAACTTATCAACGCCCTACCCTTAAATGTCTTCCATAAATTGATGATAATGCCATGAACATGGGTAGCACCTTCATTGGAGAGTGAGAAAACAAAAATTGTTTAGGAGAAGAACGATAAACAGCTTAAATAAGATTAGATATATGTGCTGAAGTGCCAAATGAAATGTCTTATACGCACCAACTACTCTGCATTCATCATTGCCATTTCTCAATCGAAAAAAGCCACGGAGTTCACACATGTGTAGTAAAGTGCCATGATCTGTTATTATGAAAATTGGATAAAACCAACATAAAACCAGATTTAGCAAAGAAATGCAGATCGAATCTAGAGTAAGGACAGACTATTCACTAGATATATATACTATGTGATAACTGTACATCCAGATGACCCTTCTTTAAAAGAAAAATGAGCACACATCACATTCAAATGAACATTGTTTAGTAGGAAAATGAGCAGAACAAAAAAATACAGACAGGAAAAGCTTGAATTAAGCATTCTGAGATGAACGAACCTCCTTCACAGGCAGGACTTCCTGTGATATCATTTAAATAGCAATCAGAATGGCACTTTCGGCCGCAGTTGATCCTGTACCAAGAGAGTTCAAACCCATACACAAGACCACGATGCATATCTTCATAGGATGTATAATTTCTGGCTGAAGAAAGCAAAACTGACTTCTCTATGGTACACTGTTTCTTCAAATTCCCTAAAGTCGTTACACTACCAGGCAATAGGTACGAATACCTCTTCAAGTTTGAATAGTTTTTGCTGTTCAAGCAAGGAGAAGTGCCAACAAAAGAGGAATTCAATGGAGTTGGGCAGCTCACTAAGACAATACTTGATGTCAAAAGGTATGGACTTGTCCGGTTCCAATTGTAAGGGCCATAAGGATCTCCACCACTGAAATTGTAATATCCCAGAGGAAAAACTGGGAAGGAGGAGCAATCACCTTCAAGAACACCTACGTCTGCTACTCTGATGGTGAAGTTGTTGTAATTGATGGCGCGCACAAAGTACCTTCCGGAGTAGAGATAGAGGACGGTGGCATTGTTTTCGCAGTAGAGAGTATATCTCTCGTCTCCGCAGCGATCTGAGTCTGTGTTCAGCCGGAAAGGGGAGCTGATGTTGCGGATCTCGCCGCAAGAAGAAGAAGCGCAGTCATTTTGGCCGCTGCGAGCTGGGATGAGAAGGAAATTCAGGAAGACAGCAGCAAGCAACAGTCTCCTCCTGCAAGATGATGATTGCTCCATGAGAAGGAAAATGGTGAGGTGAGTAATATATTAGTCAAGCTAGGCGGCGCATGCTTTTGCTACAAAGTCAAGGAAGACTAGGTCAGAGTCCATGATCTTCGGTTCTCATGAACAAATTTGAGAGAACAAAAAAAATACCTCTACAGATTCCGATTACAATGATGGAGAATGTAGTTTTGTGGTTTTTCGAATTGACGATGATTCTCAGGGCGGCCGAGGCGATGAACAATAACGGTTATTGCAGAGAGACTAGTTGCGGGGGAATCACCGTGAAATTCCCGTTCCGGATCGTAGACAGGCAGCCGGCCGCCGCCTGTGGCTATCTGGGATTCGATCTGAGCTGCAGCTCCGATAGGCTGCTGCTGGAGTTGCCGAACTCCGTCAATCTCTCCGTCAGCATCATCGATTACGCCTCTCAGTCTATTCTCGTAACCGATGAAGCCTGCCTTCCGTTGAAATCAAATGTGTCCTATTCTCCTTTCCGATCTTGGTACAGAATGATGGATGAGTTCACATTAATCAACTGCACGGTGCGAACAGAAGCTCTTTTACGTGACTGGTCGTCATCGCTGCAACTTATCTCTTGTCTGAGCGATCCCGGCGGCGGCGGCGGCTACCAGGTTTTTGCCATCTACGGTGGGACTTCTGTTGATGATCCCAGGGTGCAATCGTGTAGCATGATGTATGACTTCACAACACCACTGGAGATTCCCGGATCGTTTTTCTTGGCCTGGGACGAACCTAATTGCTCAGTCTGCGAATCCCAGGGTAAATATTGCAGGCTGCAGCAGCAGCACTGGCATTTCAAGAGCAGCAAAACAGAATGTTATCATTTCCCCAATCAAGGAATAAAGAAGAAAGTGATCACAGGTTGGCCAGCCAACCCACATACTCTATCTCTAGAAGATTGCTACATATCACTTCTTAGTTAAACTGCCATACCATTTAATTAGAGATTAAATATAGCTTAAAATAATTAAATATTATAAAAATTTGATATTTTAAAATTATATTTTATGATAAACCTAATTTTACTAAATTTATATCATAACTAAATATACTTTTTTCATAATTTGCGGTCCACAATTTGTCTAAAAAAGTTAAACCGTGGCAATTTTTTAAGGACGGAGAGAGTATTTCCTATTGCTCTCTTCACATAATTTGAATGATTCTGGTCTGATTGAAATAAGTTTTGATATGATTTGAATGTAATTTTATTTAAAATTATTTCTGATCTGAACGGATTCCAATGAGAATAAGTTAAAGAGAGCAGGCTCCCATAATACTATGCGGTATGGCTCGCGATGTACAAGTGATTACTGGCCGTCGTGCCCCCTCCTCCGTGCCACGTGACCCGTCTTGCACGTTGGCGGTCGCTCCGCTGCATGGTTTTTTGCTTTGAGTAGTTGAATACTTTAACTTTTCACGTCCTATATTTTTCTTCCATTAATACTTTAACCTCTAATATGTCTACTTGTATATAAAAATATGATATTTTTAAAAATTATTTTGTTGAAAGTAACCCATTGGTATTAAACTTATATCATAATTCAAAATTAATAAATTATGTTTTTCTGAAATTTGTGGTCGAAGTTTAAGGAAGTTGACCGTGAAACTAAAAAAAAAAAAAAAAAGATCTAGGACAGAGGGAATATGAGAAGTATATTTGTGGATTTGCATGTGCAGGTGCAGTCTTTGGTTCGGTCTTTCTTATAGCAACACTTGTTTGTGTTTGTTATAAATATATGCTTGTAAGAGCAGAGAGGAAGTATCAAATCAAGGTTAAGAAGTTTCTAGATGATTACAAATCTTTGAAGCCCACAAGATTCTTGTTTGCTGATCTCGAGAGGATCACGAATCAATTCAGGTTCGAACTAGGAAAAGGAGCATATGGAACTGTTTTCAAAGGGAAACTATCAGATGAAGTCATTGTGGCTGTTAAGGTCCTTAATGATTCCAAAGCAAGAGGTGAGGAATTTATTAACGAAGTTGGAACATTGGCGAAAATCCACCACGCCAATATTGTTCGCTTGATCGGTTTTTGTGCAGAGGGATTTAAACGGGCCATAGTGTACGAGTACTTGCCAAATGATTCGCTACAAAGGTTTATATCCTCAGCAGACTTAAAGGAGCAGTTTCTGGGATGGAAATCTTTAGAACGCATTGCCATCGGCATAGCCAAAGGGATTGAGTATCTTCACCGGGGTTGCGATGAAAGAATCTTGCATTTAGACATCAAGCCCCACAATGTACTTCTTGATCACAATCTCAATCCCAAAATTACCGACTTTGGCCTCGCCAAACTATGTTCCTCAGATCAAAGCTTGGTGTCTATGACCACAGCAAGAGGCACAGTAGGCTATATGGCACCGGAAGTGTTTTCAAGAAACTTTGGGAAGGTCTCATACAAATCGGATGTTTATAGCTTCGGGATGCTCTTACTAGAGATGGTGAGCGGAAGAAAAATTGTTGACACTGAACCCAACACGGAGGATCAAGTAAATTTTCCAGAGTGGATTTATAATGTCCTTGAACAAGGGGAAGATCTACGGTTTGATATTGAAGAAGAGAACGATGTTAAAATTGGAAAAAAGCTAGCGATCGTAGGCCTGTTGTGCATTCAATGGAATCCCGTTGATCGGCCTTCAATGGGAATTGCCCTTCAAATGCTAGAAGGGGAAGGAGATGATTTGAGCGCACCTCCGAACCCATTCATATCTAAAACGTCTTCGTCACGAAATGGGATTGCATCGGTTAATTGCATTTGCCGACGGTTGGATGCGATAGAAGAAGTTGAGTGATCAATGGCGAGTTCTCATCATATCATGATCAATAGAAGGTTGGCTTATTAGGTGACCAAAAATTCACTCGGGAATAGTTAGTATGATAAGAGATTTGTGACAGATTACCCCACTCAAACCCACACTTATGCATATGTATCTATCATTTTCAATAAGTGAAATGTCTACTCCTTTTCATGACACTTTTTTTTCCTTCATCTTTATTGTACATCATAATAATTAATATGCAGGTCTCCAAAAATAAAACAAATCGTACTCCGTATTATTTTTAAAATCTCTTGTTCGCAGATACATACATATATAGATGTATATGCACATTGAATTTTTAGAGCTATTTTTGAGTAAATAAAACAACTATTTAATTTTAAGAAGCCATATTCATACATTAGTTAATGTTCATAGGCCTTTGGAGAGACTGAAGCACATTTTTTTAATCATTAACTAGTTCCCCTAATAATTCCTTCATGCTACAACATGTAAGTTCAAGCACTGTCACATTATATCTGTGCTTTAAATAATGTGAACTATTTGTTTTATAATAATCTCAACTATAAGTTTGAACTTCCCAAAATAAAACCCTAAACAATATCTGTATTTAAAAATGTTTTCAACTAAATTTTAGATACTCAACTTATTTGGAATGCACCAGTGCCAGCATTCCTAGACTTGTTTTTTGACACCTTGTGTCGCTTGGAGAGCAAGTGAATTAGTGCAATTTTATTCTCCAAAAAGAAAAAAAGATAGACAACTAATTTGGGAATGAGGTTGCATCCAATTATATTTGCATTTACATTTCAAAATCATCAAATATATAAATTATGCATTTCCTTCTGGGTAAAAAAGGAAAACTAAAAATGCTTAGCATCAGCAGATATGTGAATACGTTATGTTAGAGGCAGGACGGGCTCAACGGGTGGCCTGGAATGGTCGGGTATCCAAAACGTAAGAACGGACGATGCAGCTGCAAACATCACCCTTCTTGGTGCCCATTTCACGCATGATGCAACGCCTACATGGCTATCCCAAGAAGCCACCTAAGGGCAAATGTGTCAAATGCCATACAAACACAATAAGTCAGCATAAAAAATGCAACACAAATAGTCATATACTGGAACTGTATTGGGATTTTCAATGGTCTTGTGCCAGTATGCCCATCAAAGCATGGAAGAAAGTTTCACCTTGTTTAGTTTATTGATGTTCCAAGCATGCAAGTTGCCATCCCCAGAGCCTAAACCATATCACATATAACCAAGGTTTAAAACATCATTAATGGGAATGTGGATACTTTGAACTACGGAAATGTTGATCGGCAACATTTTGAAAAAGCAAAACTACTACTTGTAAGTTTTTCTTTTCAAAAAAAAATTAGATTAGAAATATCCTAGAGATTCTTTCAAAAAAAATCACAAATGTTTTTAATAAAGAAAACTACGTAATTAAGACTAAATCATTAAATTTGTACCAAAATAGGATGTCATATGTTTATATCCCTAAATAGGACCATTGGCACTGTGCACAACCATTTGGCATTTTACATTGTCTGTTGGCATTTCCTTCTGCCTGAGCTGGGGGTCTCCTTTGAAACAACTGTTCTACATTCGAGTTGGGGTAAGGTCTGTGTACACACCAACCACAGAGCCTACTTTTGTGGGGTCCTACTGGCTTGTTGTTTGTTGTTGATGTTGGCCTTATATAATGACACGCTTTGGCATTATAATTTTCATTTCGGTAGTTCCTTTTTTAATATTTTCAAAAAAAAATCGCTTTTTTTCTATACATCTTGACATCTTCTGCATTTTCAACAAATTACTGTTACCCCTATATAAATTCCGAAACTTCAAAACACCTAAATTTTGATGGAAATTTTGAGCATTCCTTCGGGCTCACCAGGCTCTTTCCCTATTCAAACTTGTTCAAAATGATTGACAAATCCGGAAGACACTAAATCATTACATCTAACCACAACAATATTCAAAATAACTGACGGATTTGGAGCACACAAATGTTGATTGCATTTTCTTTGGTAAGACTTATACAAGTATGATTTAGCCCTTATTCATAACCCTCTTGTTAAACTCAACTTTTCCGTACTCAACAATATGTACAATATAATTCTCAATAATGTTAATCAAACAATATGTACAATATAAAACTAACAAATATTACTCAACAATAACTACAGTATAAATTCACTAATAGTCTGATATTGATGGTTATACAGAGTTTGTTAAAGAAAATCATCATTAAGTATATTATGGGTACATTTTATAGGTTATACATTATTTTATGAGAGAAAATATAGTGTAAAATTCTTTTTCTTGTATAATTTTATTTTCTTTTGGAGTTCATGGTGTGTTGAGAAGCTACTTACCTATATACTTCTTCCGTGAATCCGCGAACCGGTGGTCTGACCGGCTCGGTCCACTACTGTAGAGTGTTTAGACTGCAATCTGCTTTGAATCGGTCCAGACCAGTGTGAACCGGTAAGAACCGACCAGACTCTTTTCTTTTTTTTTTTGCTTCTGCGACTACTTCTCCAAAAATTTCCTCCATGGAGGTTCAAACCTCCATTCCTTGAGACACTTGATAAAGTTGTTACCATCTACACTAGAATGCACTTTGTTACATTTTAGCTTAATGTATCTAAATATTCAATAATTAAAAAATATATTTTCTAAGGGATTTTATTTAAGTTTTTTATAAACTTTGAAATCTATAATGTAATAGCTATGAATCAAACTCAAAACCATTGATATAATTATTACCATTACAAAATGTACATCACACATATTTTATTTGACTGTTACGTTTTGTTGGTATTGGGTTTTGAAAATATAAAATCACTTTTTAATTTATAAAATTTTAATATTGTTATTTAATAAGTGAATTTTATTTTTTATCTAGCAACATAACTCAAGAAATAGAAAGATAGGTCGTCATTAGATTTGATGTGCATTCTCTAATCTAAAGGCAAATGAAATGAAATACCTGACAAAACGTATTGTCCATCAGGAGTAAATGTTGCCTCGATCGTTGTGTTTGGGGAGTGTTCTAGACTAAGCCCACATCTCTACATGGAAAAAGAACTTTGATTTATATTAATTTAGACAGCAAGGGTAAAAGTAACATTAACAAGCAACTACTAATCTCCGAGAAAAATCTAACCTTCTCTCCACAATAAGCATCTAGGATATATATACTATTGCTTGTAGTTGTCAAAAGCATCGATTTACCATCATTGCTGAATTTTATATCACAAACTTCAGCAGTATCTCCACCAACAAGGAACGTATCAAAGGGACCCTATAATGAAATGGGATGATCACTTCTCAAGAAATCAATAGCTGTTAAGAAAAGACAATGGCAGACACAAACCTTGTCATATGATCTAGCATCAAACAATTTAATGGCACCACCTTCCATTGCTACTGCAAATACAAGACCTTGATGATCATATGCAACAGTTGGTCTGCCTCGTAGATGCATTATCCCCTGAAAACTACAATAATAAGCATTCTATCAATCTAGGTATTATATTCAGGCCCAATACCAAAAACATGGGCTACAATGCTTAAGGCTGTAGAGGACAAGATGTCCCTGATAGTTGCTATATGTACTTGGATATACTAGGTGTCACATAATGTATGGTTTTTTATCAATGAATCCCTTCTCAGCATTTTCTCCCTTAACAGAATGGTTTTGTAGTTTAATAACCTATTGGCCTCACAGCCCTCATTTGCCCAGGCATATTTTGGCATGACTTACACCTCGATCAGCACATGTGTGTTACTTAATTCCTTTTCGCAGTAATGTATATATTGGAATTTTTTCCAAGTTTTTGTTGTAGAATAAGCATGATAATGAGCTAAAGAGCATCACTGCCTAGTGTTGTTCAATAAGTTAAAATACAGATATAAGGAGTATTATGTTTGAAATAAATGAAATAGAGTATTAAAAAATCAAACAAACCTGGCATGCATTTACACGAAGATCCCATATTCGCACACTGTGATCAAGAGAACCAGACATGAAGCTATCATTCATAGGAGACATGCACAATGACACAACCCTATATCCAATTGAAAATATATTAGCATATCAACACATATGAAAGCTACAAACAAGTAACACAGAAAAGAAATACTCCCTCCGACCTGTGGACAAGTTTACACAGTCAGTTTCAGGCTATCCCAACACCAAGTTAACACTTCGCTCACTTCCATTTTAGATAAGGAATACATTGCCCAAAATGGTTCTCTCTATTCTAAACAAATTACAACCAACCACTTTTTAACCTTATCATGAATTCCATGGACTGCGGAGTGAAAGTGTAAACTTCTTTACGAGATGGAGGGAGTAATGCAATTTGTGATTTTTTTTTTCATTAAAACATGCTATTGAGGATGCACTTATGAATTAGCTCATCTTTTCCTTCTAATTGGAAGATGAGTGATATTGAACATGACAATATATCAATTCAATCATTTCAAGATTTCAGAAAAACTTTAAAATGGGAATGCTTCACTCCCTAAAATAAAAAAGTGGAACAGAGATAGTCTGGAGAGTGCAAGTCTAGTCGTGAATAGAGCAACCTACCTCTCTTTATGCCCATAAAAGTAGCGAAGGCATCTATTATCATACATTGAAAGGTACTGCAAAGATACTGAGCAGCAAAGTGGTAGAAGCATATGTCAGGAATCATCTTAGTAAACTTATGATTAAAAGTTAACTTCTAAAATGAATACCTCCATGGGAGGCCAAATTGTGACGTGAAGAGCATATAACAGAACTAGGGTGATGGGTGAAGCATACTCGATCAGCACCATGCTGCTTATGATATGTGGTCTTCAACAGCCTGAAAATTGATGTCCCTTAAGAAGCAATTCATCTAGGCTATGTTTGTCAAGCATAAATTTCAAGAACCTTATTGCAGATGGGTGTTGGTGTGTTGCAAGGAATATAAGGCACCCTATTAGATGGCCGAAATGAAAAGATGGTAAGAGTAACTTTTTTTAAAATATATTTTTCCAACCCTTTTCCTAGTCTCTTTCCTATTACTTCCACCCTTCAAATCTTTTTATTTATGTCATTTTATTCAGTTTCAGTTGCTTTTAGCAATCAAGGTCCGTTTGGTACACAGAATTGACAGAATTGAAAGTTGAAATTCTATAGAACTGATTTGGATGGAATAGAATTCTGCAATTCTAATTTATTTTTGGCACTACCAATTCCAAATCCATATATTTTTGTGCTACCAAACAGCAGAATTGGAATTGTCCCCAATTCCAATTCCATAGTTTGAATTCCGTGTACCAAACAGAGCGTCAATGTTTACCTAAAAAGTTCTTTTCAGTACCTAAGCTAAGAAGTTTTAAGTTTTCACACTTTTTAGTAACCTTCCCAGGTGTCAGCTAATTTACAATTTTCAGTACCTTTGCAGTTTTAGTAGCCTTTTCAGCTAATTTAACAAAACGAGTCCGATTAGAAGTAAATTTCAATCATGTGGGGGCATCCTTTCGAAGGATCTACTTGCTGTGATGATGGGCAATTGCCCTATTTTACTTACTGGGCACTTGCAATGTCAAAAAGTCTAACAGAATCATCATCACTTGCAGTTATCAAAAGATCAGCAGTCCGATGAAAATCGAGCGAGTTTATCTTTCCACCCTGAACAAAAGAGATGAAATTTGAGCCCAAAAAGTCTAAATTTTGAATTTTAGCAGAGAGAAAAATAGGTAATCATCACTGTATGTGACTATGAAGCAAACTTCAAACTCTGACGAAGTAATCTGAAGAGTAGTGAAATTCTACGATGATGAAAAAAGACGTAAGGTTAATGCATTGTACTCACAAAATCAGAGAAGACGGCTCCAACTGTCATGCTTCGAACAATATCATCGTTCAGTTCAGAGAGCGAGTTCATCTCGTCGGAGGAAGAACAAAACTGGTCGAGCGTTAGAGGGGTTTAGAAGGTTAACAACTCAACGTCTATCTAGGGTTTTATGCGCCCTAAAAAAAATTAGTCCTATTAGAAGCAAATTACTGTATAAATTAGAACAAGACTCCTTTTTTTTTTGAAGGAAGAACCAGAGACTCCTGTCCGTGCATTTATAAAAAAGTATTGAGGAAGGAAATAATAAAATTAAATTAACATAATGATATAAATCAAATACTCCATATTAAAGAAAGGGAAGTATACAATGATACAAAATATGGATTCATACCATTATAAATTTTGAAAAAGATCTTTATCACGAGCAGCTTGTAACATAAAGATTCAAGTGATGCGATTATTGTCAATCTCGACAAGAGCATTCCACACTCTTTGAATATTTTTGAAACATTTTTCGAAAGAAGGCAAATTTTTGGGGATAAGATTGTTATGAAATGTCTGAAGGTATAAGTAGTATATATAACTCGATAATCAACCTACCTGATGGGTAATAACCCATGGATACCACCCGGTTGGTCCGTCCGACTGGGTGGTGATCGAAGTGACGGAACGCATCCTTCTCAGACCGGGCTGTGAAGCCGGCAGGTTGGTTGGTCTCGCTGCTTACGCCGATAGAAATGCTCTCCAAGTGCTCTTAAGCGACCGGTCATACAAATGATCGGTTGGATAATCTCTCTGCACGAACTGCACGAATTAATACAATATTTATGGGGGTTTTAGGAGTAAACACTCCATACAAAACTAATTTGGATGTGCCGAACATAAACATTATCAGGATTCGTAATAATTATTGTTTGGCCCAATGTCCACAAAGGTGGATGTCGGGAAGGCTCATGAAATGAAACATGAACGCACCATATTTACACCATCAAATTGGCGCCATCCGTGGGACCTATTACAAAAGTCATGGCCAGTAACCAGGAAACCGCGATCTCACAAATATCTGCCCCCGCTGAGAACGTCACTTCGTTCCCGGGAGGTAACACCCAGCAAATAACCCAGATTCCTACCCCCATCATCACCATTCCACAACCTGTCCCATTCACTTCCCCCGTAAACCCCGTTCCTGTTTTTCCTTCAAACTTCCCAGGGCCCCTGGATCCAATGTACAGCCAGGCCCTGCAGAATTTTGGACATTTCATGTCCATGTTCCAGCAACCGGGAGGGTTTTTCAATCCGGGATTATTTTCACAATCCACGCCCCAAACTAATGTCATTCACCCGATCGTCCCGACAAACCTAATCGGGGAGATGGATAAGGCCGGTCCATCCCGGTCTAGGAGAAGCCGGTCCCGGAGGTCACAGACAAAGGTGACCTCGGATGGGAATGTGCGGTCAGTCCACAGCAAGGACGAGGATTGGGACCTCCCCCAAGCACACAAAAAACTGAAGGGAAAGGAGGTTCAACCAGAAGGATCTAGGAGGTCGGCCTTTCAAAGGCTGGGGCACGATGGCCGAAATCAAAACCGGTCGGTAAAGGAACGGTTGGGGGTGGAAACCATCCCAGCCAGTGCCTTTAATCATGCGGGGAGGGGAGCCGGGCGACCTGGTCAGACCAGGCGAATGGAACAGCCTCAACGCGATGAGCCCCAGCACAGCCGGACGCCGCGAGAAGAAGAAGCCGAAAGCCACCCCAGGCACCCGACCCGTTCTCATATTGAGCAACCACGGGATCGTGTGGGCCGGGTTGAGGCGCGGCTGGAAAAACTACAACGCCGGGTAGACCGGGAAGAGAAGAAGAAGATTCTGCTGAACGAATCTCCGTTCACAGACCGGGTTCATGAGACCCCGTTTCCAAAAAAGGCGAAACTTGAAGTCCCTAAATTCACCGGGAAAGAGGACCCGGAAATTCACGTCAAAACCCTCCATCAAAGTGGGCGGATGATGGGTCTTTCCGGGGATGAGAAATGCTTGCTTTTCTTTCAAACCCTTCGCGGCCGCGCCGCCGAGTGGTTTCATAACTTACCAGCCGGCGAGATCGATTCGTTCGATGAGCTGGCTGAGGTGTTTCAAGAGAAGTTTTAGGAAAACTGTATCAAGAGGAAAAAGTTCACCTACTTGAGCACAGCCGGGCTGCGAGAACACGGGGACCTGACCAAATTCCTTACCCGTTGGAAGGGTGAGGTTGACAAGGTGGAGGAGATGGACGACAAAACAGCCATGTCCCTCCTTGTGTCCGGGCTCCGGTCCGGGGAACTTTACAAAGAATTTTGCAGGAGGCCTCCCCAGTCCTACCAAGAGGCCTATAACACGGCCTCGGAGTATGCTGACGCTGAAGCCCAGGTGTTATCCAAGAGGGAGGCCGACCAGGGCCGTTCAAGGGAAAAAATTTCCTTGAGAAAGGAGATCACATTGCCCAGTAAGGCAAAAGCGGAAGTGATGGAGGTAAAGCCGGCCAAAACAGAGAAGGCACCAACCAGCGAGAAACAGTGGACGGAGAAGTATTGCTCCTTTCACAAAACTGACTCCCATAACACTGCAGAGTGTAACAGTGTGAAGGGAGTAATAAAGCAGATGATTCAGGCCGGAGAGCTTGATCCTGAGTACCTGGCTCAGGCCAAACAAAAGAAGAACCAATGGGTCAGGCCTGAGGGACAGCCGGCCGACCAAAACAAGAAGAAGAAAGCAGCCGGCAAGGAGCATTTACAGGTCATCTACGGAGGACCAGAGGGAGGGGATTCAGCTTCCCAAAGAAAGAAGTGGGGGCGTGAGCTATACGTTGGGACGGTGGCCTAATGCCCCCGGTCAAAACAGGCGAGACGGGAGCCGATCACTTTTACTGACCGGGACCTCCCCGCCACCGGAGAAGATCACAATGATCCCCTGGTAATAACTATGGACATGGGTGGAGTCGATGTCTCCCGGGTACTTGTTGACACGGGCAGTAGTGTTAACGTTTTGTACCTGGACGCGTTTGAGAAGCTCAAGTTGTGTCGGACACGGCTTGAGCCCTTAAAAACTCTCCTGTCCGGGTTTACCGGGGATTCCGTCGAAGCTAAAGGGTCAATCCTTCTAACTTGTGAGCTGGGCACAGGCGACCAGGTCGTCCAGAAGCAGATGAGGTTTGTAGTTGTGAACATCAAATGTGTTCACAATGCTATCTTAGGCCGGCCTGGTATAAACAAGGTCCGTGGGATCATCTCTATGGCCCACCTCTGTATGAAGTTCTATACCCCGGGCGGTATAGGGCAAGTCAGAGGTGATCAAAAGAAGGCCCGGCATTGCTACTTGGAAGCTGTAAAGAAAATGACCAGGGCATTCGAAGGAATCACCTTGGTCTCCCAAGAAGAAGACCGGTCAAAACTGAAGCCGGGCGATGAAACTGAGCAGATTGTACTCCGGGGAGCCTTCCCGGAAAGGATGGTGAGGATCGGCAGAGATCTGCCAAGAGGACTTCGAGATGAAATCATCTCAGTCCTTCGGGAATATGCAGACATTTTTGCTTGGATTTTGGCGGACATGCCGGGCATTGATCGTTCTGTTATATGCCATCATCTGGCTATAATGGAGGGGAGCCGGCTGGTGAAACAGAGAAAGAGGCACTTGGCAAACGTCCGGAGGGACTTTGTTAAAAAAGAGGTGAAGGATTTGTTGGCGGTCGGGCACATAAGAGAAGTGCAGTACCCGGCCTGGCTAGCGAACGTGGTCTTGGCTCCAAAGGGCGATTCATGGCGCATGTGCGTGGACTACACCGACCTAAACAAGGCATGCCCCATGGATTCATACCCGCTGCCAGTCCCGATCAGATGGTCGATGAGACGGCCGGGTGTGAGTTGCTGAGCTTCATGGATGCCTTCAAGGGCTATCACCAGATCTTCATGGCCAAGGAGGACGAGGAGAAGACATCGTTCTTAACACCTGAAGGTACCTATTGCTACCGGGTAATGGCCTTTGGGCTGAAGAACTCGGGCGCCACTTACCAGAGGATGGTAAACCGGCTTTTCAAGCCACTCCTCGGAAAGTCAATGGAAGCCTATGTGGATGACATGCTGATCAAGAGCCCGGGAGCCGAGAACCACCCGGCCGACATGAGGCTTTGCTTCGAGATTATGGCTAAGTACAACTTGCGCCTCAACCCCAAGAAATGCGTCTTTGCTGTAAAGACCGGTAAGTTCTTGGGGTTCATGGTAACCAAGCGTGGAATTGAGCCTAATCCGGAGAAAATCAAGGCCATAACTGAAATGAGGTCGCCCAGTTCGCTGAAGGACGTACAGCGTCTTACCGGGCGGTTGGCGGCTTTGAGTCGTTTTCTCTCCCGGTCTGCCGAGAGGGCTCTGCCTTTCTTCAAGGTGTTAAAAAAGGCCAACACATTCGAGTGGGACCGGGAGTGTGAGGAAGCTTTCCAGCAGCTGAAGGAATACTTAGTCTCTGATATCGTGTTGTCAAAGCCCAAACCGGGTGAGACTTTGTACTTGTATCTAGGGATTTCCCAAAATGCTGTAAGTTCCGTTTTGATTAGAAATGAAGACGGCCAGAGGCCTATTTACTATGTGAGTAAAGCATTAAATGGGGCTGAGAGCCGATACACTGCCATCGAAAAGACGGCATATGCACTTTTTATAACGGCCAAAAAACTGACCGCGTACTTCCAAGCTCACACAGTGGAAGTCTTAACCGATCAGCCACTTGGACCGGTTCTCCGAAATTCGACCTCATCGGGAAGGTTGATCAAGTGGGCAATGATGCTCACTCAGTTCAAGATAGAATACAAACCAAGGACAGCAATCAAGGGTCAAGCCTTGGCAGACTTCCTCGTTGAACTGACCGGTCTAGAACCCGAAGCCGGACCTTCCCATATGGTCGAACCATGGTGGGATATGGCCGTGGATGGGGCTTCTGGACCGAAGGGATGCGGGGCCGGTGTGGTCTTCACTACCCCAGAAGGGTTCAAGATTTACCATGCCTTGGTCTTCAACTTCAAACTCACCAATAATGAGGCGGAGTATGAAGCTTTGGCCGGTGGTCTCAGATTAGCCCGGGCGCTTGGAATAAAAAGGATGAAAATCCGTTCTGACTCGAGTCTAGTGGTTGGACAGGTCAATGGTGAAATGGAAGTGAAAGAGGATCGTTTGGCCCGGTATAGCGATCTGGTCCGAGCACTTCTAAGGGAGTTGGAAGAATTTCGTCTGACGAGGATACCCTGGTCGGAAAATGCTGATGCGGACATGCTTTCGAAATTAACGCAAGCTTGCCCAGAGCATGTCTCGAAATTAGCAAAAATTGAGATACTAGACGTACCGAGTACAGACCGGTTCGAAGTTGCGGCCGTCGAACCGGGCTAGACTTCATCATCCGGTGTAATCGAGGCGGATGATGATTGGAGGTACGAGCTCATGGAGTATTTAGAGACCGGTCAGAAGCCTGATGATGAGGAACGAGCCCGGAAGGTAGTCCTACGGGCTCCACGTTTCCAGGTAATCGACGGCCACTTGTACAAACGAGCAATTGGCGGCCCGCTCTTGCGTTGCCTTACCAACCAGGAGGCTGAACGGGTAATTGCCGAAGTACACGAGGGAGTTTGTGCGGCACATCAGATGTCCCGCACTTTGGCTCAAAGGATAATCCTACTAGGCTACTACTGGCCGACCATTGTTGGGGATTGTGAGAGGTATGTCCAGAAATGTAGGACGTGCCAGGTATTTTACAAACATCCCGGCAGACCAGCCACTTATTATCAACCTACTTCTAATGTCATACCATTCGCCTAGTGGGGTATTGACATTATTGGAGCCTTCCCGGTTGCCCAAGGCGGAAAGAAATTCGTGATGGTGGCTATTGATTACTTCACCAAATGGATTGAGGCTGAGGCGATGGCCACCATAACCGTACGGCAGTGTGAGAAATTTGTTTGGAAGAACATTATCACCCGGTTTGGTTCCCAACGTTTATCGTTACCGACAATGGCCCACAATTTCGCAATCCCCGGTTCACTGCGTACCTTGCTAGCTTTGGGGTTAAGCACAGCAAGGCCTCGGTCGCATATCCACAGGGAAATGGCCAAGTGGAAAACGCTAACCGGACAATTGTGGACGGTCTGAAAAAGAGGTTGGGTGAGGAAGGACACAAGTGGCTAGAAGCCTTGCCTCACACGGTCTGGGCACACAGAGTGACTTCAAGAAGAGCAACTGGAGAGACGCCTTTCGTGCTAAGCTACGGGTGTGAGGCCCAGCTACCAGTAGAGGCAGAAATTCCAACATTCAGAGAAATGGTCTATCAGCCCGGTCTGAATGAGACTGAGCACTTAGCTGAGTTAAATCTGGTGGAGGAACGAAGGACTATAGCAGCTGTCAAGATGGCCGGTTACCAGCAGTCGGTAAAGCGGTATCATGACGACCGGGTAAGACCGCGGTACTTCCAAGTACATGACGAGGTCTTGCGCAGGAGGGATGCCAGTAAGCCTAATGAGAGGGGCAAGCTGGTGCGAAACTGGGAAGGGCCCTATCGGATCAAAGCGATCGTCAGACCGGGCACTTACCAGTTGGAGACAATGGAAGGCGGCCGGGTCGAGCGGTAAATTTTATAGATAAAGTGTAATGAGTTCCCAGCCTTTAATAAAAATTTCTTTTCAGAAAGATTGTTCTCATGTGCACTAACCGGTCATTCATCGCATACTGATCTACCCGGTTAGATGTCCAATCGAGTTGGACGACACAAAAAAAAAAGTTCGGTCTGACCGATCCTATACCTCATCCGTACTGACACGGGAGTTAAAGCGATTTGGCTTAACTAATGGGAGAGCATCCCGGCCGGTTTAAGCCATCGTGTAAACAGGTCAACCTTGCGAAAACCCGGGCACGTGCTTATCCTTTCGCAAAGGATAAGTCAATACGCCATGGAAGGCAAAGACCAAACCGGGAGGAAATTAATAAAACTTAAAGTCTTCCCGGCTGACTATCCAGTCTTTCGAAAAGACTTGGATAGAATTGTATTCTAAGCCGGGTAGTTGCAGCCGGGCTGTTGTCTACTAAACTAAACGGTTGAAGAATCCAAAAATAAAGCACTCGTCGTGGAGGCCGACAGAAGACATAAATAAAGCACTCGGCACATGATGTAGCAAATTTTTTCATTAATATTTTAAAGTCTTACAAAAATGCCCGGAGGCCGATCATTACATCATACAATAAAAAAAGAGAATAGAAGCCCGGCCAGATGGTTCAGATGCCTGGGAAGGGAGGGACCGGCGCCTCGTCATGGAGCTCGGGCAGAGAAAGAGCCTTGGGATGAAAGTTTGGAACCCTTTGCGCAAGGATGCCATAGAGGGCCTTCCGCTCTGAGTACTGGCCGCTTTCATACCCATAGGTCCCGATCTCATCCACCAGGCCGGCCGATACCGGATGCTTGTATAGACTTTGGAAGAAGCGGATGCCTGTCTCCCGGTCTGGCAAGGCCTTGGCGGCGAACTCTTTTGGTGCCTGAGAAGCCCAGGCAGCGGCGAGGTCGGCCCGCTCCGACTGCTCTTTCTGCAGCTCATCGCCAAGCCGGGCGATCTCCTCGGTTGACCGGGAATTCTCCGCCTCCAGATGCTCGGTCCGAGCCTCCAGCTGCTGGATCCTGACCTGGGCCTGCTCATCGGCCTCTTTCGCGGCATTAAGAAGTCCGTCGTGCTTGGCGTAGAGCTGGCGGTAGACCGCACAGTGCTCCAGCCACTTCGCCTCAGTCTTCTCCGCATACTCGCGGGCGGCCTGAGCATCCTTCCGGCATTGGACCATCATGGCCTCCATCCGGGCCTTCTCCTCATTCGCCAACTTCTTCAGCCGGGCGAAGTACTCCTCCCCGATCCGGCCGACCTGCTTTAAAGACATGGAATGTTTTTCAGACAATAAAAAAAACAAAACAAAAACGATGGAGAAAGGGGGGTTACCTCAGACAGGTCGGAACGAAAAGCTTCGAGAAGCTCCTCGTCCGACCGGCTCATCAAAAGTGGAAACCGGGGGACTAAAGGTCCTCTGCCAGCATCGGAGGACTGAGCCCCTGGGCAATCCGGCTGGTTGACCTCTTCAGTCCTCCGCCTCTTCCGCTGGAGGGACTCTTCAGCAGCCTCTTCTTCGTCTTCGCCGTCCACATGGGGTTGACCCGCCTGGCCGGCCCGGGAGGTATGCCCATTTCCCCCCATCAGGGTGTCAAACTCGAAGGTCTCTATGTTGAGGTAGAGATCCTCCGAGTGAAGAGGCTGGTTAGTTCCCTGATGGGATTGGGTTGGTTGCTCCACCAGGAAGACGGGCTGGCCGGAGGGAGGAGCGAGTGGCTGAGCAGAGGAGGGCTCCTCAACCACTATCTGTGGGACGGCGAACTTGGACTGGAACTTCACCACTGAAACAAAAAAAAAGAGAAACCAGTCAGAATAATGAAGTTGAGAACAAATTAATTGAAAATGAGAAGGGTGATTGATTGACCTTTCTCCTTCCTCTTCTTCGCCGGACGTGAAGGACCGGCGGCGGCTGCGGCCTTGGCTTTGGATCCCATCGTCTGGCTGATGGGGATCGCTTCGGGGATCGTCCCGGGCAGAACAATCTCCGGCTCGGGGTCGGTCTCCCGGCCCGGGTAGACGCCCCACTTCCCGACGTGGTACTGACCGCGGGTGGAGGCATCCCCGGCCCGGAGAGTGGCTTCCCAAGTAGCCAGGTCATCAGCCTCCGTAGGTTTGACCTGACGCCTCATCCTCTTCCCCCAGACATTTTGGGCAAAAGGGAAAGAGGCCGGGGGGAATTGGATGGACACGTATTTATCCTTCCACTTCTTGTTAGAAGGTGGAAGGCCACAAAGGAATGCCCGGCCTTGGTAGGAGGACACCACCACGAATCCAAGGGTTTCTTTGGACCCGGGCCGGACATCGAACATGTGATCAAAGAGACGAAGAGAGAGGGGAATGCGGAGGAACCGGCAGACATTGATGAAGCTGCTCAGCAGACGGTGACCATTTGGGGCCAATTGCCCGGGCATGATCCCGTAGGTTTCAAGGAAAAGGACTTTGAATGGGTGAATAGAAAATTCACCCAAGTCCTTGATCGAATTGTAATGGATACCAATCGACGTACCGGTGTGGAGAGGTATGATGCTCTTCCATGTTGCCCGGTATGTCAATTGGTACCCATCAGGCATCAGATTACGCAGCTCGTGGACTTGGGGCTTCTGCATAAACGACGGCTGCTCTTGGAGCAACCAGTCGTCTAGCTGGATGAAGCCCTCATCCTCGGTCTGGGCAACCGAGACCACTTGCACCGCGGAAGAAGAAGGAGCGCAAGCGGAGGCGTCAACCGGCTTCTTCTGTGGAGAAGTAGCCGGGCGCTCGGAATCAGAGGAAGAAAAAGAAGAAGAGGAACTGGATGATGGAGACTGGCCACCAGAACCATAGGAGTGAACGGACGGGTTCTGGCTATCCTCACGGTCAGACATGACTCAGAAAGGGGAGAAGACTTACTTGGAAACGATTGGAAGACTCGGAGGACTGGGCAGTTTAAATTTCAGGAGATGCTCGCATATGCTTCCCGCCCCTGATGGTCCCCACAGGACCGGGAATCGGAGGACTCATTGATGGGTAATAACCCATGGATACCACTCGGTTGGTCCGTCCGACTGGGTGGTGATCGAAGTGACGGAACGCATCCTTCTCAGACCAGGCTGTGAAGCCGGCAGGTTGGTTGGTCTCGCTGCTTACGCCGATAGAAATGCTCTCCAAGTGCTCTTATGCGACCGGTCATACAAATGACCGGTTGGATAATCAGAGACGTGCTTGACGTGCTTAATTATGTTATAAATACCCCCAAAATCCTCATTTGTGAGGTATGTTTTGATTAAACCTACACGGCTTGTATTTGTAATAGTCCTAAGCATTATTAATAACAAACCGGGTTACAGGTGTTTCCACCTACAGCCCTTCCGAGTACTTTACTTTGTACTTGCGTGGTAATTTACACCATCACTACCCATTAGATGTTTGGNACCGGTCATACAAATGACCGGTTGGATAATCAGAGACGTGCTTGACGTGCTTAATTATGTTATAAATACCCCCAAAATCCTCATTTGTGAGGTATGTTTTGATTAAACCTACACGGCTTGTATTTGTAATAGTCCTAAGCATTATTAATAACAAACCGGGTTACAGGTGTTTCCACCTACAGCCCTTCCGAGTACTTTACTTTGTACTTGCGTGGTAATTTACACCATCACTACCCATTAGATGTTTGGATTTTGTGAATCCATTTATTTGATTTGATTTGACATGAAGTATCAATGGAGTCACACATCAACTTTTTCCTCTTAAATCATTAAATTTTGTAAATCTAGTTATTTAGTTTGATTTGATATAAAATTTGCACGAACCACACGCCAATTTTTACTTTTTTTTGAATATCTATAAGAAATAATTACTATACACGCGGATCCATAGCATCATTCAGGCCCAATTCTCCACGCACAATAGCAAAGTAGACAACACATACATTTAGGTGGGAACACTATTCACAATTTCATCATAGTTTTATACTCCCTCCGCCCACCAAAGATTTTCTCATTGTGCATTACAAGATTTGACCGACTTTATTTTTAATTCAATTTATTTGATTGTAATGATAAAGTTTTATAAAAAATTATATGGTAAAAAAGTACATGAAAGTTCTACAAAACTAGAGATGACAATACTTTTTTATTTTATGAATGAGTAGTTAAAATAAGTAAACAGAGTGGGTTAAATTTGACCCTGTGAATCGTGTTTGAGAAGATCTATGATGGATATAGAGTGCGTTAAATTTGACCCTGTGACTCATTTTTAAAAAATCTCAGCCTTGTTGATGTATTGCCAAACAAGTAAGGCAGACAGTTTACAGTAATCTGTAGGCTCAAACTAGAGGTTCAAGTATCTTATGGTGAGGTCGTAATGCGGTGGGTTGGATAGTGTAAAAATTTTACCCTCCAAAAGTTTATCCGCACAAGTAGCTTAGATGGTTCTCAAGGAAGAGTGTTAAGTTTAAGGTCTCAAGATCAATTCTCGGCAATAATAGTTTCTAGGTTCCTAATTTAGATAAATGAACAAGCCCCTCCTAACCTATTCCCATAGGTTGGGGAGGGACATTACAAGACAAAGTGAGTGGTGAGCATGTCCAAAAGATACACGTAACACGCTTTCGGCCGCCCAACCGGTAGGGCTACCATACTAGCTATTATCTACCAAGAACATACTCCCTCCGTCCCCAATTTGATTACAAATTGCGGGTTACGGAGTTAAATTTCCTCTTTTTTGAAATCATTTTATTTACAAATTGGTATATCAATAAGATATAAAAATTATATATTAAAAAACTACGTCAAAAGTTCTACAAAACAAGAGGTGACAAGAATATTTTATTTTATCAAATACTTAATGAATTCGCGTAAACAAACAAAAGTTATCGCGAGGAGAGAGAAAAAAAGATTGTAATCTATTTAGGGACGCAGGGAGTAACTGATACGGGTTATGGAACAAATGCCAATAATGCACGCATGTCCACTACGTGCCCATATGAGGCCAAAATGCCCCCACACCTCCCCCTCCCCCAAGCAGAATTTCATTTATACAAACAAAGAACTATTTTCAAAATATGTAATTTTCTCCTCGTTGTGATTTTTATGCTCAAAGTTTTTCACCTTTATCCATAAATTATGGGAGAAATACATTAAATTGTGATAAAAAATTCATATTAATTGATTCATTTTGAAATGCGGGTTTGACATATTATATTTTTATAATATATGTTTTCATTATAAATTGAGATATTAATGGTCAAAGTGTTATATTAGAGACGACAAAAAGTCAAACGTGAAGAAAGAAAAAAGGACAAAGGGAGTATTACTCTATTTTGATATAAGTGGTTCACTCTATGTATGTAGTATTTTTAATTTATGCTTTAATAGAAAAATGTTCATGGACTTATGTACCCGTAAAGCCTAAGTATTTGAAACAAATCGGGTTCAGACCAATTTTAAATATTTGTTTTAACTATTGGCTCTATCTTGTCATATTTATTTGATAAATAAGTCAGGCAAAGTCATATGAAAATCATTACATTATAGACTTAACCTCAATTTAATATAAAAGTATGTCATATCTCTTAACACAAACTTGGTTTATCCCATCATATTTTATTTCCCATTTTTGTATCTCTTCATTTCTCCTCCCAATCCTATTCTTTCATAAAAATATCAGCATTTTATCCTCAGACCGACAATTAGTTTGAGAGAGTGACCCAAATCCTAGAGGATATTATGCAAGCTTGCATCATCAACTTCAAAGAGAGTTGGGAGTGATACTTACCTTTGATGGAGTTCGCTTACAACAACATCTACCAAGCTTGTATCAAGATGGCTCTGTACACCCAACGATAGCCCATACCAATTTCCGGTCAATAGAAAGACTATGATGTTTCTATCTTGGAGTCCATCAACGAGAGCATTGGCAAAGGGAAGGCCAATGCAAAGTATTACGTCGACATGTTGGAGGATGCCATCATCGGCAACTACTAGAAATCCAGAATGTTCTAGAGCGTGTTGCGGCGAAGTATGACACTAGGAAGCTCAATGGTACGCGCATACGTGATGGGGGAGATGCTTTAGAAACACTGAGCCGTGCGCATCCGGAAGTCCCGAAGTTTGGTGCCTTGCATGCCAACGTGCTCAAGACGTGGCCCCAGTGGGTCCATCGTTGAAGACATTATGTCGAAGGTGCTGGACCTTTAATTTATTATGAAGCCGAGAAGAATATTTTCAAGTTCTAAGAAATTTGGAACATTTTGCAGAGGAGTCCTAAACTCAACTTCGGGCATAGGCGAGAGGATCAGGACAAAAATGATCCAAACTCTCCGAGACTGTTTGTACTTGGCAAGTAGGGGTAGACATTCCGTCGACCTCAATGCCACGAGGGCATCCCCCTTAGATTGGGCGACGAATCCAGCGGACAAAAAAGGTGAAGGGAAAAGCCAAGACAACGATTCCTAATTCCTAATATGCCACCTCCACCACGAACCCGAATTTGGACAAGATAAATAGAAACCTTGAGAGTATGAGCTTGGCCGTTCATTGCACCAAATCGCTAGCTCATAACAATGGGTGCATTGGCGATGTTGGAGATGGAACTGAAGTACCACCACATAACAATGACGGCGATCTACGCCATGATAAGTAAGACATTCTGCAATATTTATTTTTCAATTCTTTATTTTCCAAGCACTTCTTTTATTTTTTAGTATTTGTGATTTTAATTTTAAGCATGTTAAATATCTTTTTTTAGTAATGTAGTACGAAGTATTTGATAATTTTAATATTTTATTTATTTATTTTTAATTTTAAATTAATACAAGAAAAATTTACTTAAATAGCACTAAAACATAATGACTAACCCTTAATAGCATTATATGTGTTTTTCTTCTCAATGTAGCACTTTTAGTCATTATGCATTAGTCATTATTCAAGTAAATATTTTAGTCATTACTGGACATTGTGGACATTATTAAGTGCTATTTAGAAAATAAAATAATTTAAGTACTATTTTGGAAAATGACTTAAGTTTTAGGACTATTTAGTGCAAATATTTCTTAATACAATCCTTTTTTGGTTTTTAAAAAAAGCTCCGCCTGCCTAGAGAAGCTAGGGCAGAGCTAGAAACTGCACCGGTATCTGGAATTGCTATCTTCTGCATCCCCCGCAATATTGTTCATTCCAGCCATCTCCGCCCGGCAGTAATAAGAAAATGGAGTACCGAAACAAGCTGGTCTTGGCCCCGATGGTCCGAGTTGTAAGATTTGCTAGTCTTTGAGCTGGTTATTATATTCTCATATCATCCTCTTTTATCTGCATTTGGTTTTTCGTGATATTAATGGCTTCCCACTATGCGCCAAATTTTCCTTTTAGGGTTCTTAAGTCTAAGTTTGTAACTGGAA